CTAAGAACGAGATAATTATTTTACTAATCGAGTTGTTAACAACTGGAATGGGCTACCAGCAAATGTAGTCAATGCAAGTTCTACAAACATTTTTAAAAGTCGATTTGATGCATTTTTAAAGCTAACCAAGAAACACTGTGTATCCCAAATTACATCATCATAGTGGTGCCTGATGCTGCACCACTTCATCAAAGTTTACAATTCAAACTTTATTCTTTTATGATGGTTTTTTTTTTTTTTTAAATGACTTGTAAATTTTTGATTTATGAATAAACAAATTCAAATTCATATATATATATATATATACATATACAGTAGTGTCCAAAAAATTAAGGCCACATGAAATTTCACAAGTTTTCTTCAGCGCAACAGAGAATAATTATACTTTTTAACGTAAATGTTTGGCAACTTTATTAATTAATATAGCACAATGTGTAGTGTACCAGTCCTTGTTATTTATCAGTCTATGCACTAATATTTGGTTGGAAAACCCAGTTTTTTAACACTGCATCAATACGTGCAGGCATGCTACGAACCAGAGTTTTACAATAATCCAGCGTAATTTCCTTCACCCTAACGTCCTTCACAATACGTTTCAGGTCCTCTACTAACTTAGGTTGGTGTGCCGCAACTTTCTTTTTCATTAAATTCCAGCAATTTTCTGTTACGTTTAAGTCAGGTGAACTTGATGGCCAGTTGTTCAAGGTCATAACGCCGTTTGTCGTAAACCAGTTCTGTGTTGTCTTAGCAACACGGCATGGTGCCGAATCTTGTTGGAATATTGTAGTATTTGAAATATTTATGTGTACCTTTAACTTTCTATTCAAAGTATCAATATATGATTGAGCATTCAGTCAGGTTGTGCCATCCATAAGCTCAAGGGGCCAACGTTCTTGACTGGAGATACACCCCCAAACCATAACACTTGGGGGGTGCTTAATTTGGATTCATGCGCTGTCCAGCTGGATGCCTTACATAATTGTAACCTGATCTGATGGAATGTGCTTTTGTCGCTAAACATTACTGTGTCCCACCATTTCACAGGTTTACCTTTAAAGGCCTTACAGAACTTGATCCTTTTTGCCAATTGTACCTTTGTTAATAACGGTTTTTTTTGCTGGTCGTCTTCCAAATAGTTTGAAAGCTGTAGTTAGGCGTCGTCTGACTGTGCAAGAATTAATAAATGTCCCTTTCTCACGAAGTTTCTCACATAGCTTGAGCTATGCGAGCAGAGGATGCAGTCGGACTACATACTACTAAAGCTTTTATAAATTGATTCTCACGACTGGTTGTTTTGCGGGGACGGTCGCAATTTAAACGCCTACCTGTCTCCTCCTTTAATGCATTTTAAACAGCACATCTTGAATACTTTAACTGTCTTGCTATAGCACGCTGACTTTGTCCTACTACATGCAGTGCATTAATTTGTCCTTTGATAAAACTTGAAATATCCGATTTTCTTCCCATTTTAAAAACGCATCAAGTTATACTTCAAATGCCTAAAAAAATTAAACAATATTGTTATGAAATGGAAAACGCTTAATGTGCTTTGTGTTGACCACGCAATACAACACATTTTGATGACGTCATCCAAAGACAATGAAAAAGTGATAATTTGTTGTTTTTTAAAGGTGGCCTTAATTTTTTGCACACTACTGTATATATATATGTATATATATATATATATATATATATATATATATATATATATATATATATATATATATATATATATATATATATATATATATATATATATATATACATATATATATATATATATATATATATATATATATATATATATATATATATATATATATATATATATATATATATATATATATATATATATATATATATGTATATATATATATATATATATATATATACATATATATATATATATATATATATATATATATATATATATATATATATAAATATATATATATATGAATTTGAATTTGTTTATTCGTAAATCAAAAATTTACAAGCCATTTAAAGACGTCGTAAACTGGAGCGTTTTTATAGAAAAACTGGTAGCTTATCAGATAAAAATTTATATCGAACTGCATGCCGTGAGGCTGCAGCAGCAATTCACAAATCCAGATGTAGTCATTATAAGGCGAAAATAAATTCAGCATATGGTGATCAAAAAGAAACATGGAAGATTGCCAAAAAATTACTACATTTAAATAGTTCTAAATCAAATAACACAATACCAGAAGCAAAATGCAATTTAATAAGTCAATATTTCATACGCAAATTTGAAATTATAAAGAACACTATCCAGGAAAGGCTTGCAAAAACCCCAATATCTAAATTTATCTCAGAGTTATCTCCCCATGTAGATATATTAACAACATTTGGTACAGTCACACCTACAGATGTGTCAAAAATAACCAAAACTCTCAAACTAAAGACATCGTCACTTGATATTATTCCAACAAACATCCTTAAATCTTGTTCAGAAATATTCAGTCCAATTATAGCTCACCTTGCTGACCTCTTATTCAAATCCGGAATTTTTCCAGCCTCATATAAAGTTGCTCAAATAACACCGATTCCCAAAAAATTATGACTAACAGAATTTGACCTAACAAATCTACACCCCATATCAAATCTCAATACAATTTCCAAAATTATTGAAAAGCTTGCTTTATCTCGTCTTCATCCACACGTAACATCAACCAAAACAGCACTCTTAAAAATATGCAATAACATCCTGCTAAACATTGATGATGGTTTGGCCACTATTCTCCTATCTCTGGACATATCTTCAGCATTTGATACAATCGATCACAGCCTGCTGATTACCCGTATTAGGAATGAATTTGGTGTCACAGATATTGCATTAAAATGGCTAACATCATACTTGCACTCTCGAAAATCTTTTGTTTCTATTGGATCATCAAATTCTAGACTAATAACAAGTTCAACAGGAGTACCACAGGGTAGTGTATTAGGCCCATTTCTATTTTCTATGTTTGTTTCACCTGTATATCATATTATAGCTAAATTTGGTACAAATCATCGTCAATATGCTGATGATACTCAACTTTATACTTTCCTCAGCCCTGGCAAAGATAGTATCAACAAAATCACTGAGTGTGCTAATGCAGTAACAACATGGTTTCTAGAAAATGGACTTCTGCTTAATCCAAATAAAACAGAAGCTATTTTATTTGGATCTAGAAAACAAACTAGCAAATATAAAAATGATTCGAATACTGCATTTTCTGGAACCACAATAACTACAATAAATTCAGTAAAAATCCTTGGAGTCACCCAAGATTCAAAACTCTCTATGGACAAGCACATAAACAATATAATTAAATCCTGCAATTACCACATTTGTGCACTTCGCCACATTACATATATATATATATATATATATATATATATATATATATATATATATATATATATATATATATATATATAATATATATATATATATATATATATATATATATATATATATATATATATATATATATATACATGCATATATGTATACATGCATATATGTGTATATATATCAGGAGCTATTCTAGACTGTTTTTGACAGCGTTGACCATATTTGGGCGCCGAAATATACAGTACTTTTTGGGCGCCGAAATATACAGTACATATTTGGGCGCCGAAAAATACAGTACTTTTTTTTCTTTTCTTTTTTTTTTAACTTTTTTTTTATTGCAAATATTGTTTTTTTTTTCGCAAAAAAAACAAAGATTTTCCGCTAAAGTCTGCCAAAATGAGGGGGTACTGCCACCCAAATTTTTTTCCTAGAATAGGCCCTATATATATATATATATATATATATATATATATATATATATATATATATATATATATATATATATATATATATATATATATATATATATATATATATATATATATATATATATACACACACACATGTGTATATATATATATATATATATATATATATATATATATATATATATATATATATATATATATATATATACACACACACACACATGTGTGTGTATATATAAAAATATATATATATATATATAAACATATACTAGACATTTTTATCTTTGTGCACTGGTGAGGAAGCTTTTTTTTGAGCGCTGTCAAGCAAAGAGAGCACAGCTTTTCATGTGCTTGGGAAGAACGTTGTGGAATGCTGCTTGGTGCACATATGCAACAGGTAAGGCTGATTGTGCTTTGATATGCCAACTTAACAGATGAAACGTAAAAATTCTGTGGGTATTTTTGTGATCTTGATGTTTTGAAAGTTGTATAGTCTAAGGAGCTCACCGCTGATTTGACCATTGTATAGTTTTTGTAAGCTTGTTCTGCAAATTCCTAATGGAACCTTGGGATTTGTGAGATCAATATCTTGTTTGGGCAGGGTCTTATCTCCATCATGTCAAACTTGTCTGTCACATTTTTTCATGCACAGAAAGCAGACAGTTCATTATAACTAACTTATACTGTTTTAAAAGTTGTGATGTTCTTTTTAACAATTTAAGGACTTATAAAAATAAAAAATTGATAACAAAACTTTTAGAATAATTAGTTTCAATTTAGTGTCGAACACTTTTGACATGAACATCTTTATTTATGGAGTAATTAATATCAATGCATTGATTTCGTCATTAACATTGGTCAACATATTTTTTTAAACTCTACTTAATAAATATTAAACAGAAAATGTTTTTGTCCTTTGTAAGTACATAAACCAAATCAATGATAAATTATCGAAAAAAAAGCTTTTTGAAATATTTTTTTTAAAATGTGACTTAATTTTATATTTTCAAAAATTTTTTAAATATAAAATTAAGTTTAAGAATTAAATAGGTATATGCTCAAAACTAAAAACTTTAAAAATTATAAACTGATTTCTTTATTAAGCTTTCATGATTAATTTTGATTTTATATGAAAATATTTTATGGTATTTAAAAAAAAAACTGAATCAAGTTGCATTAAGTAAATATAATTTAAAATAAAAAACAACCTTGTTCCGAGACATTTCCTTGAGTTTCCATATCCTATTGAGCTACTTTGTACATTATCACTTTTTTGTTGGTCAAGAATCTGTTAAAATAAATACTAAAATACAATATATTATAACAAAAAAATAATTTTAGTTAAAAATAATGAACTTCAATTGTAGACTCAGAGGTGTATTTAATTTACTCTAAAAATTTTTCCATGAATTAATTATCACTTTTATTAATTAAATTTATTTAACTTTTAACATCGCAGTATGCAATCCCAATAGACATATATCACCCCAAAGCATTTTACCAACTGAAACTTAAACTTGTTACTTCCAATGTTTTTAGTTAAAGTCAAAACTGAAACTCTTTAAAATTTTCTATTATTATTGCATCTGCATACTACCTACTGTTGCTAGGTGTTTGTCATTATTAAACTGTCATATTATACTGTTACAAATATTCTTAAAGATGCTGCTTGAGCTTTTACAAATCCAAGAGAAACTTCTGAAACTTTAAGGAGTCAGTAGATACAATTGAAAATGCAGATAAAAATGACTACATGAGCAAAAAAATATTACATGATTCACAAAAAACTACTTGGGTGTGGTCTATAAATAACTATTTGGGTGTGGTCCAATAAAAACTACATGGGTATGGTCCATAAAAAACAATTTGGGTGTGATTGACAACCTGGCATTATAGTTAGACATTTTTTGAATATCTCCATTATGTCTTTACATTTTCTTGTTACTTCTTTTGTATAACCTATGTATATGTTTCTATTTTGTCATGCATTAATTAAATATCTTTATGTTATTGATATAGCGTCTGAAAGAAAAAAGCATCAAGCGAAGCAAAAGAAAGAAAACAATCTCTGGATGATTGCACCAATATTATCCAAAGAATGGCGAGTGGTGAGTTTAAGAAGTATATTACTGAAGATAACAGTTGCAATAAGGGTACTGTTAGTTGTGTAAGCATTTTCGAGAAAATAAAACAGTCCATTGCTTACCTTGTAATTAGAGATTATCAGAGACTTCTGTCTACAGATAAGTATATTGTCTTTCAGTTCAAATACTAGCCATATATTAATCAGATAGATGTTGCCAATGAATTGAAGGTTTCAAGCACCTTTATCTCTAGATCTTCTATAAGTAGATGCCTCAGAAAAAAAGACTCAATTGTTACAACTCCGGTACCCTTACTTATGGAAGCCAAATATCCTTAAGCATTGCAGTTAGGCAAAAGCCTGTCAACACTGAGGATTTCATTTTTTTGTTTAACTTCAGAGGATTCATTTAAGTATATAAAAAACTAAGAGTTGCTTGTAAAGACCTGTCAACATGTAAAGAAGACCTGTTTCTGATCATACAATACTTAATATAAAAAAAGTTATATATGTTGTACTGTCAAGCATCAAAAAGATATTATGATTTGGAGATTTTTCTCCAGAAGTGGCATAGGTTCAGTTTCTTCTTTTTCTCCTTAAGGTGGTTCCGACCATGCAATGATCTCTAAATCTTTCATCTTGTACTTCTTCTTTGAACTTACCCTATTATCACAATACTTACGACTACCCTCAAGCTGACTGGAATTCTTTTTCATTATTTTCTTTGTGATGATCCTTGGGCTGATGTCTTTTTCCTATCAGCCAATAAAAGCTCTTCCTACATAACCTCCTAAATACAGACAGGAATGGAAGCTTTTATTCCTTCTTGTCCAAGTCAAGCCTCATTCTATTCCATGGTTTTCACCTTCTTGTGCAGGTGCTATATCTAATCTTTTCTTTTTCATCAAAAGAACAACTCTCTTGACAACAAACACCTCATTATTATTGGAAGAAATCATGTAAAAAGGTGCTGTCTGATGCTATACTCTATTATTCTAAGTTCACAGTGTCATTAACAAAGTTAGGTCTATTGTTAGACATTCAAATCAATCCAGCTTTGTGTGCTTAAGTCTCTATTAAAATCTGCTACAGCTTGTGGTTCAGACAACATTCCTGTCATAGTCTTACAAAAGTGAACTCTCTTCAATTTTCTCTGAACTATTAAATAAGTGCTTGACTTAATTTTTTCCTACCTGCTGGAAAATGGCATTTGTAACTCTAATTTAAAAAAACACTGGAAATCATTCTGAGATTTCGAACTGAGCAGCTGTAGCACAGTTGTTATGCACTTGCCTCAGAAGCTAGAGATCCATGACTCAACGCCACCTTCAGGCAAGTTTTATAACTTCAGTAAGGAAGGAGGTGTGAACTTCCTTTCAAATGCTCTTCTGTGGTGCTCAGTGATAAAAACTGTAAGGACTTCTAGGGACACCTAAAATAAAATTCAAAAAAAAAAAAAGCCCAATCAGTCTTCTATCTACTATTGGCAAGGTATTTGAATCTTTGATCAACAAATTTTTAACAATACATCTTAAGTCAAGATTTACTGTTAAACTGATCCTCTCGCTCTAGAACTTATTTACTAACTGCTGTGACTGAAAGATTTTTATGTTCATTAGATGGAGGCAGCAAGGCTAGGGCTATTGCTCTTGACATATTTTAAACTTTCGACAAAGTTTGGTATGCTGGTTATCACCATAAGCTTGCTTCATATGGTGTATCTGGGAACATTTTTGAAATTATCATTTCTTTGTAACTGTTTAATTAATGTCATTCTCAAAGGCCAAGACTCTTATTTATTTTAAGTCACTTCTCCAACTAAACTTAATTACTTACTGCAAACAACTCGCAATACTGTCGACATTCCTATATTGATGAAAGGCAACCCTCTCATTGAGCCCTCTTCTTTACATCTTTTTGAATTATTGTTCATAACTGACTTCTGATGGAAACTATATATAAAATTGATTGCTAAATTGCGATCTGCTAAGGGTGCTTCTCTTTATCGTGCTAGCCATTATCTTACTCCTGATTCCGTTCTCTATCTCTACAAATCTTTTATTTGTTGTTGTACAGAATACTGTTGTCATATATGGGCTGCTTCTTCTAATGATGCTCTTTCACTTTTATTCAAGGTCTAAAAACGCATTGTAAACATAGTTAGACCAGCTCCAGTGTTTCAAAGGAAGACATGCGATCACATGTCTTTATATGACTAGGTATGTATGAGTTTAGTTTTGATGAATTGGCCACTGCTTTTAAATAGTTTGATAATTTTCACGCGTTTCAAAAATGGTGCATTAAAAGAAAAGTAAACTAAATAAAAATGAAAACAAAAACCATAAACTGAAAAAAGAAAATAAATCTTAACTAAAGCGAAAATAATCAAAAGTAAAAAAGTATTCTATAACCTTTTAAATTTAAAAGCATTTTTCTTGACTTGACTAAAGATCAAAGTTTCTCAATTAATTAATCCAAACTTATTTATAAAAATTTTTTTTACTAATTTTGTTGCAAAATTTTTACTAATTTTGTTGCCATTTGGGTTTTATAGCACACCATTTTATGTAAAAATTCAATGGTGTATGAATTTAATGAATATGGAAAAAACATATTTTTTTTTCAAATGTGAATGGATAAAATATGGGTTTAAAAATAATATTATACATGAATTATTGATAACTATATAATAAACTATGCCTAGGGTAGCCAAACATCTGGAAACAGGCTTGGTACTATGTTCATTCCAGGTCTTTTATCTGAAAGAATAGCGGTCAGTGTGTTGATATCTTTCAACTGCAGTGCAGATGACACCAGGAGGCAGGGGGCACATGGACTCGCACTTATTTTTTGAGGACTAATTTTTTTTTTCTTTCATAAATTGACAATTTTTTTTATAAGGGAATGTGCTCCCCCCTCTCCCCCTTTCATTTTGAAAACTGTTGTTGTTGTCCCTAAACTACACTGTTAGATAACGATAAACAGATGTATAACTCAGCTAATAGCAAAATAATTGGAAAATAAGCTTTATCAAATTTCTATAATTTCTGCTAAATTTTTAGACAAGTAAGCTTTGAATAATTATTATTATCTTCGCATAATGAATCATTGGATTCTGATGAACAAGTAGATGATTTTAGCGAAAAAGACTTAGTTAATCTACTGATGGTAGAGAACATATATTTTAGATTTTTTTATTGCTTTAAACAACTTTTTATTAATTTACAATATAAACTTTTGTTTTATTTTTGTTTAAATTTTTTTAACATATAATCTGTTTTGTTCCCTCACTTGTATCAAATTTCATTAATGGAAATAAAAAGCATCCTAAAAACAAGAAGAAAAAAAACAGTAAAAAAAAGGAGATAAATCTTAAATTTTAGTAAGTGGTTTATTTTCAACGACATTGAATTTTTACATAAAATGGTATGTACACCCCACACCAGCCTATTTATTTTTCCTATAACTTACTGCAACAAAACTTTGTTTATAAATCAGTTTGGAATAATTAACTTAATAACTTTGATCTTTATGCAAGTCTATTGAGTGAAAGGCTTTAAATTTAAAAGAGAAGAATTTGGATTAAAGCTTATTTTTTTACTTTTGTTTATTTTCTCTTAGGTTAAGATTTATTTTCTTTTTTCATTTTATGGTTTTCGTTTTCATTTTTATTTAGCTTATTTTTGTTTTTAAGAGCCATTTTTAAAATGAGCAAAATTTATCAAACTAATTAAAAGCAGTGGTTAAAGTCAGCAAAACAAAAATCATAAATGCGAGCTTCATATAAAGACTTTCTGTGAAACACTGAGCTCTATCTGTCAAGCTTCCATCCTTGTAAAGTTGCAACACTACCTCTTTTCTACAAATACTATCACTTAATAGTGGCTCCTTGCAGTCTAGTTAGTAGTGAATCAAAATAAAATTTAAAAAAAATTGGGAATCTATGGGCATATCCAAAGTGTCAAACAAGGAAATATCAACCTAAAATACATAATTTATTATGGTAAACCCATAATTTTAAATTATGGGTTCACCATAATAAATTTTGACTGCATCAAAAAAATGTTTGTTTTTTATGAATAAATTGCTTGTTAAACCTATTGAATTTTAAACAATAAATCAATTTGTAAATAAAATTACTAGCACAATAGCAGAATAGAATATATAAATATATTTTTTTAGCAAAAAAGCCATCAGGAAAACAATATTATTCTTCATCAACAATTTGGGTAAGTTGAAAAATCAAGAAAAATTCAAGCGACAAAATCAAAAATGAAACTGATATTTACAATATTGCCTTAAATTATTAAGAAACACTATCTGATGAAAACAATTGTTGGTGAGGCAATCATTTTCAGATGTTTATCAATATCAGCATTAATGTGAAGAAAAATGGATTTCGACATAAAAATGACTTTAAAACAAGCTATAATGGGAACCATGGGGATAAGACAACAACAGAAAAGACACAAAACTTTGTCAATTTTGTCAACTTAATGCTAAATCTTTTAACTATGATTACGACCAAATGAGTTCCCATTGAGAATGAGTTCCCAATTTTTGCTTATTTGAAAAATTTGCTTATTTTTTGGTCAAAAATGTGTTAGTAGGTTAAAATAAAAAATTAAATTGAAAAAATAAAAAAATGAGTTGCCTCCTTGGCTGTAGTATGTTGAAGAGGTCTGAAGCTTTAGGGAGGTGAACTAAGTTACAAAAAAAATAAAAAATAAAAGACACTTTCTTCAACATTTTACCCTATTTATTCAGTTTCTTATTTAAAAAAATGTGTACTGTATATGTACTGTATATACAATATTCATTAAGCTGGATATAATTTGCTGGTTATCAATTATCATTTTACAGTGTAATTAATTGATTTTGATTAAATAAGTATTTTTTGGTGTTTATTTTTATCTAATTTGGTATTAATTTGGTATAAATTTTTTTCTTTTAATTTAATATAATATATGTTCATTTTGTAGTGATGAGATTTATCTTATGATTATCTCATGAAAAATTCCATAACAGCAAAAATGATAAAGATGTTGTTACTGATGAAGATGTAACAGTTCACTCTTATCATTGGAGATTATGATTTAACTTTTTCGTTTTACATTTTCTAAAATTTTAGTCTAAAAATAATTAAAATACACTTTTATAAACTGAAAATTAAAAAATAATATTAAATTTAATTCAGCTATATAAAATATTTACTAAATTAATTTATTAATCCAATATATTATATTAAGTTCAACGAAATTATGCTTTGACGACAAAAGAACAGTTGAATTTTATTTACAAATTTTTTTAAGTATGTTCATGCATGTTTATAATACAAAAACAAAGTAAACAGATTGTGTATTTCAATATTAAAAACACATGAGCACATCTTAATTGAGTTATTTTATGGCATATAAACCATTTTAAAATTTAATTAAATGCCACAGAATTGAAGCATTTTGGAGTCCCATCATACCTGGAACAAACAGAAAGTCTTATTTACCATTGCTGATCTAACAGTGGGGTTTCTCTCACCATGGCAATGTGTTGTGAATTTGACATTTTATATAACATTACCTAATACAGGTCATGTAACTGTATCCTGTGTGACAGCCCAGAAGCAGCTTAGATAAACTCTCCTTTGGTCACCTTTTGTTACCATGTTGGTGAAATTATCACACCATATGTTTTTAATGATCTGAAGATTGAAATTAGTTGTTTTAATCATTTTAGCTGTTGCGTTTATATTTTTGAGGTCATTTTAAATAGCTCACACCACCTTTTTCTTTAAAAAAAAAACAAAGTTCTTGTATTATATCAAAAGAAAATCATTATACTCAGTATTTTAAGAGTAAACTTGTAATTCATTTTGCAAAAAACATATATTTTAACTATGGGACAAGGTAAACATGGAACAGATGTCTTTCAAGGACAAGTAAGACATTTTGAGATCAAGTATTGAATAACTCTAAAATAGCTAAAAGATTGGATTTTTATCGTAAAAATGTTATAAATGCTATTAATTTATTTAAAAATACTGGTTCATTAAGCAACAAAAAATGCAAATCTTGCAAACGAAAGACAACCTCCAGAGAAGACACAGCCATTGTCTGTATTGCTAAGCTAAATCCTTTTGCTTGGGCACCAAAAATTGAAGATCAAATCGCTCAAAATTTACAAGCAAATCTGTCTGTCAGCACTGTCAAAAGTTGCTTACGCAAAAATAAGCTACTTGGAAGAGTTGTCAAAAAAAAACCATTGGTCTCAAAACGCAATCTCATCAGTCGTTTAAAGTTTGCAAAACAGTACATACACAAGGATTTACGTTTTTGGAAAATTGTGCTTTGAACTGAAGAGTCTAAGTTTAATTGCTTTTGACCCGATGGAAAACAGTATGTTCGTTGTCCTCAAAACCAAGATCTCAGCCCTTGGTATACTTTAAAGACTGTAAAACATAGTGGCGGTAAGGTGATTGTTTGGGGCAGTTTTTCATGGTGTGATGTAGGCCCCTTGCATAGAATTCAAGGGACAATCGATCAACACATGTACAAAGAAATACTAGAAAACGTCATACTGCCTTATGCTAAGGAAAATTTTCCTTCACTTTGGAAACTCCAACAAGACAATGACCCCAAGCACACTGCCATAAGTGTTAAATGGAGTTTAAAGCGTAGAAGATTGATGATTTGAATTGGCCCACAAAGTCACCAGACCTAAACCCGATAGAAAATTTGTGGAAGGAAGTTGAAAGAAACATAAATTGATCAACTGCAACAAATGTAGATCGATTTTGGTTTGATTAAAAGGCTGCTTAGAACACCATTATGCCTAAGCAATGCCAAAAACTGATTTCTTTAATGGACCATCCTTTCCAAACAGTTATTGACTCAAAAGGATACCTCACTAAATATTAATTTACCTCAAATAAAGTTTTCATAACTAATTATACAAAGATACTCTATGATTTTTATAGCAAAGGGACAAAATGATGATTTTTTAACAGGGTGTGCTATTTAAATTGCCCCTTATTCTGTACCTCTAATTTATTTATATTATCTTTTTTAATTAAATTAATATATTTTCTTACTCCAGTAATGTTATATTCTAAAACTAATATTTTGTTAAAAATATTAGTTTTAGGCTAAAAAAGTTTAGATCTAAAAAACACAGATCTCTGGAAAATATGTCATTACATATTAAACATCAATTTGTGCTATTTATTTTGTCGCCACTGTATATATACACACACAAATAACTTTAAATGTATTCTACAGAATAGATTGCTCAATGTTCTTAAAAGAACAGAGCAATAATAAATTAGTAGAAAATCACTTATCAATTTTTTTTTCATTTTACACTGTTTCATCTAGACTCATCAGAAAATAATAATCAAATTAATAAAACTTCAATTTATACTAAAAATTAAATTTCAGGAAGTCATAAATGTCTTAACTACTGTAACCACATTCCACATTGGTGGAATATATTGACACTATTATAAAAATAATTTATTAGAATTGTTAACTTCTGCTTTTTTTAAATATATTTTTAAAGGGGAATTTATTGTAATTAGTTTTTGAGCTCACTTATTTTTATAGTTTTTTAAGAAAAACTTATTTTCATGCCTGCATTAAGAAATCAATTTTGATTTTTTATTTAATAAACAATCTTGGTTCACATGTGTAATTATTTTTATCTATATACATATACATGCATTTTTGTAAATATTATTAAATGCAGGTACTGTTTACTTTATTTTATTTGAGAACAACAACTTTAAAATAATTTCAATAAAAAACATCTCTTTTTAAAAATTCTCTATAAAATCATTAACATACCAATTGATCTCGAGCTGTCCTGAATGGATGAATGAATGGATTCACTTGTGATTCGTTTTCTTCTGGTAAACTCTAAATTCAAAGGAAAAGCATATGTAAGTAATTAAAGTTTGAAAATCATTAAGTTCAAAAAAATGTTGAAACTTGTTTAATGCATAAACCATTTTTAAAAATGACAACTAAAAATTAGTGACAACTGAAAATTTGTGACAAGTGAAAAATTTTCAACTCTTTTCAAAATATTTAAATCTTAAGCTCTTCTACACATTTTTATAATTTCAATAATGTATAAAAGTTATTGCAAGAAGTAAAAAACTAAAGTAACCTATTTTAAAATTTGTAGAGTAATACCCAGAAAAAATACAACTATGGCTGTGTTTTTTCAGTATTATTATTAATATATTTCAGAACCACCTATCAATTGAACAGCTTTAAGACATTACCAATATCTTGGCAATTTTATATTAAATCAATTTAAAAGCATATTTAAAAACTTGGCAACAAAAAAAAGTTTTGATATAGTATCAAAAAATAATATCAAAATGCAATGCAATATCAGCAAAAAATGGTATGTTTATCTTCCTTTGTAAATCTGCAGTAGCTCTGTTAACCTTTATTATTTGATTTTAAAATCAAAAATTATTGAAAAATTGAAAAAAAAACTTTTAAAAAAATGGTAGGTAAGGTAAACACAGAAGATAAGAAAAAAGTTACAAATAAATATTATACTTTTTTTTTAATCAGAAAAAGTATACGAAGGGCCATTTAATAAATAACGTTAAAACTATATGCAATTTTTTTTATTTAGTTATCAGAAAGCCATCAAAAAAAAATTAATTATTTGAATAAAGAAAATTTATCAATATAGAAGTCATATAAATTTTCCGGTAAAAAATTTGACTAAAAATTTACCAGAAAATTTTCCGTTAAATTTTACTGTAGCAACACTACAATATAGTAGTCAACAAAGGTTGCAAATAAAAGTCAAAAAAAAAAATTTATCTTTTGTCTGAAATAATATCAAATAAAGTGATAAGGATTGAATCCAGCGGAATATATCTACTTACAGATAAAATAAGAAACAAAAAGTAACAAAGAAATTTGAATTCAGAAAAAGAACTTTTTATCGTTTACCATTCATTAGTAAGTCAAATATGAAGAATCACATTTAATGAATGAAGAAGTTTAAGAACCATTTAAAAGATTTAACCATTTATATTTATATTTACCTGTTTTTACTTTTTTTCTCTAATAAGTAATAAATTGGGAAAGGTGAAATATCCAGTAAATCTTAGTGGATATGTAAATGAACCAAAAACTTCATTCACAGGACTCTACTTTATATTTCTGATAAACTAATTTATAAATCTAGAAATGATTTACTTATGTATTTTAGATACATAATAATGATATTTTATGTTCTTAAAGTCTGTGTTTGTTGGATTTATTTTCCCTGAAAAGTCTAATATCCTAGTAGGCCGTGTTTTTCACCATTCTAATATGGATATTAATGAATTTAATGTTTCATATCTAGCTATTCTATTTGAAAAACTTGCTGCTAAAAAGGATAAAACTATTTTTTTATTGGGTGATTTAAATATAGATCCTATAAAAGCAGATAATTCAATATTGGAGTATTTAAACACCATTGCTTCAAACAACCTTTTCCCTTTATATTCTTACTGACAAAATTACAAACAAAGGTAAAAATACCAATAGTTTTAAAGCTAAATGAAAGGGTATTGGAAGTCTTTTGAATATACACTTGAAAGTTCATCCATCTTCTGTATTTTCAAATAACACTATTATTAGCCCATCTTATTTTGACCCTTGTGAACAAATTTTAATATGTGGAATGTCATAAAATATTGTCAAGGTATTGTTTTCTTAATGAAATTTTTTTATTTTTTATTTTGGACGACTATTTATACTCGCACCACTCTTTCAAAGTTTAAAATTTTTCCATTTTTTGAGTTTTTAAGAGTTTTTAATTTATTTTCAAACAACCAGCACAAATAGAAATTTACAAATCAATAACGTCATAACAAAAAATGGAAGGTTTTTTATCTATACTGATTGTGCGCATTTTTATTGCTATTATTTTAGAAAACTGGTGGTATTTTAAAAACACACAAATTGGTTTTGAAATTTAATTTAACATGGTTTTTAAACACAATAGTGTTGAGGCCCAATACACAACAATTGGACATTTGTTAGAGGCTTTTGATCTAATACAACTCACTTACCTAAAGTCCTGGCTATTTAAATAGGGTTTGAATAAAGGCGAGTTTCCACTCATCTGTTTTTCAACGGGAACGGGGTAGGAAAGGAAAAAATAATCACGTGAGCATGCGTAATAAAAGTTTTTTTTGTCCGAAAGAAAACTGCGCATGCTCACGTGACTATTTTTCCGTTCCCTTTCCCTTTCCTGTAGAAAAAAGGATGAGTGGAAACTCACCTTAAGATTAGCTATGTTTCCTGGCCAATCATTATTCTTGTTAACTGTATCTCCGACTAATTTACTAAGCCGCAGCTGTAAATAAGCCGGATAATAAATTATTTATTTTACAAAACTATAAAAGGTTAAAAAATAGTTAGGTAAAGATAAATTTACTTCACTTTAAAATACTTTTTTGCTAAAACAAAATGTATAAGTTTTTAATTTTAAAACTATTTACATTTAGACTTTTGAGAAGTGAAGAGATTATTGTGAACTTGCGGAAAAAAAATCAGACCATTAGGTGAAAATTAACAAATATTTCACACGCCTTGAATTTCATTAAATCCAAGTTTCATTTCTCTAAAATCAGGTTTTTATTCTGAGTAATAAAATACTCAAAGAGATCAATCGAATGGCTGACTACATTTCTCTCTCCAGGGCATTGCGTTTTTTGACCTGTGATATTTCTGATTCTGCAATTTTTAAAGTAAAACTTAATTTCATAAGTTTTGATATTTTAGTCTTATTATTTAAGAATAATTTATGCCATAAAGTAATAAATTGTTTAAAAACAATGATTTGCAAAATGGTTATATATCAGGTGTAAAATACTTTCAAACCAATTTTTTTTCTAATGACAGACTTCTTATAATACACTTTTAAAATAAACAAGACTATTGGCAGATGTATATTGAGCCTGCTGCAGAGGTGAAATTCAAATCATGGTAAAACCATAGAGGTGTTTGGTGCTGGCGTAAGCATCTTTTGACCAAGATCCATAAAGATGTAAAAAACGGATAGAATTAAAGCTGAAATTCTTCTGAAAGCAGTTTTTGTTAATAACGACCAGCCACTAGGTTTTGAATTGTATATTTTACCAGACTGGTTAATTTTGATTTTCTAGGCCATAGTTTGAAAAAATGCTTACAGATAAGACTCCCTCAGACTTTTTGGATACAATGAATTCCAAAACTTTTAAAATCTTTCTAAGTTGCTAACAACTCATCAGAACTCATAGCAAAATCGTAAATCTATTGACCATAGTTTAAAAAATTATTTCTCAAAACAAAAAATATATTTCTTGTTTTTAAAAATAAATTGCAAGGTAGGATATTTATTTTTTAAAACAACAAACATATTTCTTGTTTAAAGAAAAATATTTTGTAATAAAAATTTTTGTTGTGCTTACAGTAAAATTTATTCAAGATAATCAAAAAGAATTCTTGTAAAAAACCATTAAAAAAGAAGAGTGGATTCAAGGAGCTTGCTATTGCAACTGTTTTCTTGTTTTCTCATTATTGAATAGTTCTTAATAATTTGAATTTTGATCCAATACCTAACTGCAAACTCTGAACCTTAGAAGTACATTTAAAAATTTTTTTACATACTTTCTTGAGATATTTGTCTTAATTTATATGTATATAAAATTTATATGTATATAAATATTTATTGTACATTTGCAACACTTAAATACTGAAGCAAATTTGCTTCAGAAGCAAGAGATCTGTGGTAGTGACAGATCCAGCAATTTTTGGTGTTTAAGATAGCTAACATGGAGAAAAATTCAAACATTAGCATGTTTATACTTATGGCAAATAATGATGCTTTTTAAAAAGTTAAAATGATCAGAGGCTGGGAACAAATAATCCCTAAAAATTCCCCCCCCCCTGCCCTAAACATGAGAGCAACAAGTTGATGAAACAATTTTTGTGTTATTCTTAACTAAATTTATGTTCATCGATAAACTTTTTCTAACACTCAAACCTCAAACATCAAAAAATGCTGGATCCTTCACTGATCTGCCATTCGATGCCTATGCTAGGCTTTTTTTTGACATGAAGCAAGCATAAACTTTCAAGTTAAATGCTTTTCTGCAGTGCTCTGTGATGCGATTTACTGTAAGCAAAATTGTACTTTTTAGGTCTTCTAGGAGCATCTAAAATAACCACAGAAAAAATGTGTATATATATTTTGGAATCACATTGATACGTTTTGATCTAGTTTAGTTTAAAACAAAAGATCAAAAGTCCTTTACCCAATTTTTTAAGGAAACCATTTTGTAATTGGATTTGTTTGATCCAAGGCTCCAGTAGCAGTATTTAAAAAAAAACATCATTTGATACCAAAATGAAGTAAAAATGATAAAGTTTGTTGCATGACTGGGAAAAAGTTAAAGCTTAAAGTTAATTTATCTATCATAATCAGTAAAAGATACAGGTACAACATATTTCTTAAATTAATAAGCAAAGTTTCTTTTTTTTTTTTTTTTTTGGTAGAGGAAAATATATGAACAAACTGAATTTGACATCAGAATCTATTTGCGCCAATGCTTGGAAATGGCTCTAAATTTAGTAAAAAATCATAAAAAGCGTAACTTTAAACAATCAGCACAAATACTTCTATCAATAAAAAATATAAAATACAAAACTTTTTCATATAAATATAACCTCTACGCCACATATTAGCCACTCGGCATAAAATTGGCACAAAAAAAATTATGGGGTTGACTAACTATTATACATAATCCAGTAAATAACTTTTTAAATTGTTCTTTATTTTAATCCTTGAAGAACTGCAAAGTTCACTCATACTTTTATAAGTATATAAAAAGCATTTTCATCTTTTTCATCTTTATTCTTAAACTTCATGCTTATGATATTTCTACAATACTTTCTTAACTACTTATTCTCGCATTCATTTTTGGTATATTCCATAGTATTTTAAAAACAGCATCTGTTAAACCATTATGTGAAAAGAACACAAAACTCGCAATAACTAAAGACTATCATTATCAAATATATTGCAAAACTTGTATCATATTAACTACTTTCTATTAAACTTTCATATAAACTACTTCTATGGCTGCCAGTTAAGTTTAGATTTTGCTCTACTTCCCACACTCTTGTTAGCATTACTGAAATAATTTATGGCGCGATTCATAGTAGTTCTTTTGCTTATGGCATCAATATTGATTTCCAAAAAGCTTTAAACCTGACTGTGTTGATGGCTTTGATCTGCAAAGACTCCAATAGTCATTTGTTTGGCCTGGCCATATACACTACTGACCATATTTTTTCAAATGATTTTTTAAAAAAATGTTTCAGTTTTTTTTTTAATGTTTATTCTTGCACTGATAATTTAAAAAGTATTTTGAAATGTACTTATGTAATTTAGCTATTTGTTGTAAAACTTTTGTCTATAATTTTTGTTTGAACCCTTTGTCTATTATTTAATGTGTTTCTGTTTAACACCTCTTCTCTCAATCACCTTTAGTTGTTCTGTATCATTCTCCTTTTTCATAAAACTGCACTCTCTTCTTTTTATTTCTGATGAAATCGCCCATTCCTTTTATCCCAATTTTCTATATCCATAAGCTGATTTTCTGTCTTTTCCATTTTCTCACTTTTTTTTTTTTTGATGACACTAAAGCTAACTTTTGTATTTCCTATTCTCTTGCTTAGATAGTGAGCTTTCCAGACAACCCTAATCACTTTTCAGACAACCTTAATCATTTCATCTCTAATCAGGCCTCAGCAGGAATTGCTAGCCATTGCCAGTACACGCGTCTACACCTGTATAATTCAGTTTACAAGAGCATAATAACACCCATGCAAAATACAATTATTTTTTTAACACCAAAATTTACAAAAATTTTTGTTAAATTTAATTTTTTATTAACTTAATGTTTTTTTGGTTGAGTTAAATTTTACTTACAAAAAAAAAATAGTAAAAAACATCTAGAGCATTCAAAATATAATATAGCTTTAGTACAATGTAATCTCGCATTGATAAAAAAAAAAAAAGCAAAAAAATGATTGTTTATTATTACTTTTTTGCAAACATCTTTAAAGTAAAAAATTTCAATATTAAAGATTTTTTTAATGTTTGACATAATTATTTTTAAATCAACTTCACAAAAAAACAACAGCAAAAATATAGAGATTTAATAGTTTTTATATTTTCAATTAAAAACATTTTAAAAGTAAGTTAACTATTTAATCTAAAAACAAAAAAAACTTTTTAAAAACTTTTATAGTTTTTTAACTTAGTATGTAAAATACGACTTTAGGTGAAAATAATAGATACACACATATTTAATAACTTAAATAAAATCTTTTTCATAAACAGTTATAAAAATAGCTCATTTAAATTTCAAATAAATATCACAAAAACATTTTTAAAAATACTAAACTCATTCATTTAGGTTTTATTTACAAGATCCTTTTCTTATAACTCTCTAGCTTGGTGCTTTATCTTATAATTACTCTCTAGCTTAAAGCTTTTCTTATAATTATTATAAAAATTTTTCAACACGAGCTTGTAACTTTTAGATAACTTTTAAATAGCTTGGTGCTATTTCAGTGAGATTTTTTTTTAACTTTTTAAATTAGAAAAAAAAAATTCACAACAGAACTTTTTTACTAAACATCGAAAAAACCTGCAAAAATGCTGATCAATTCTAAAAATGGTCATCTCTATTTACTACTATTATATTTATATAAAAAAAATTTTTGATGAACTTTGCTATAATTATTTCTACTATTATTTATTTCATTCTTCATAATTTATTATATAGTATATAATTTATGTAATGTTATTTTTTATCATTATAACTTATATTATCATTATATATTATACTTTTTTTCATCTCTTCAAATATTTTTTTTTTAATTACTCTTGCTTTTAATTCTTTGTTTTCTTTAATGTGTTTTTTTTTAATCCTCACTCCATTAACTAGTTTTTAACAATATAAGTTTTTAACAATATAAGTTTTTAACAATATAAGTTTTTAGCAATATAAGTTTTTAGCAATATAAGTTTTTAGCAATATAAGTTTTTAACAATATAAGTTTTTAGCAATATAAGTTTTTAGCAATGTAAGTTTTTAGCAATATAAGTTTTTAACAATATAAGTTTTTAGCAATATAAGTTTTTAGCAATATAAGTTTTTAGCAATATAAGTTTTTAACAATATAAGTTTTTAGCAATATAAGTTTTTAGCAATATAAGTTTTTAACAATATAAGTTTTTAGCAATATAAGTTTTTAGCAATATAAGTTTTTAGCAATATAAGTTTTTAGCAATATAAGTTTTTAGCAATATAAGTTTTTAGTATTATAAATGGATCTCAAACCTAATTGATATAACTTCATATTTTTATGGTTAAATAAATGATTTTTAAACAAACAAACAAAATAATAATTCTGGGATTTGTTGCCTAAAACTCCTTATCCTAGATATCATTATGTATAGTGAATGATGCTAATGTATAGTGAGTGAAGCCAATTAAATAATAAATATGAACAACAACCAATTAATTTTTAATTTTATTATTAAAAAAAAACATGACAACAATTGTAAATGTATAATACTTACAAATCTCTCTCTTCTTGACTCTTTTGGATTTTCTATAAAATTATTTCCATTGTGCATTACATTTTTTGTTTTAGGAGAGTAAAATGTTTTCTTATGAAATGGTTTAATGCTCTCATCCTGTTCATCATAAGACTTATGTTTACCAGATTTGTAAATAGTAATTTGTTTGTTTTTTAAAGGTTTATTATTTTCATAGCAAGATGAATCATTAAGCTTTGTGCTAACAGTTGTACTGCAAGACTGCTGATAAGGTCTTAATTTTGCACTAGCTGCTGTAATTTCACTGGAAGATATATTACAAGGTCCCAACTTGGTATTAAGTGATCCATTTGAGCTCAAACTTGCATTAGCCTAAATGTTAAAAAATTATTATAAAAGTAGTAGAGGTATCACTGAACGACTTAGCTTTTTTTTTTCCAATTTATTTCTTTTCCAATAATATATTACCAAAGAAGTTTTAAACATTATTAATGGATTAATTTTTGGCCGGAAAAAAAAGAAGATAAAATGTTCATTTTATGAAATGTCTACACTAAAGTTTTTTTTTTTTTTTTTTTTTAACATCTTCGCTTCTAACAAGGCTACAAGCAACTACTATTAAAGTTGGAAGTTACTGGATAAGAAAAAATGAAGATAACGATTGAAAAACGACTTAAACGATTGTTAATTATATGAATCATGTTCATAACATGAATAATATAAATCATGTTCAAATTGTTCATAATGCTGTGGTTAAAAAGAAATGATTTCACAGTAAAATAATTCAGTTAGATAATATCTCAAACAATCCATATGAAGATAATCTCTAAAAACTTTTCCAGACCATATGAAGCAAGCTTATGGAAAAGACCAGCATGTCAAACTTTATTGAAATAAACAAGAAAAATATACAAAAAATGTTTAAATATAAAAATATAAAAATAACAAATATTAATATACAGTAAATATAATAATAAAAATAATGCTCAGTTCTACCAGTGTTTTTTCTAAAAGAATCCAATATAGATAGAAAAAAACAACAACTATATTTAAAAATTAAAATAATCACTTTAAAATTTGTCTGATTGTTGTTGTTGGTTATATTTGCTTTATTGTTGTTAATATTGTTTGTTCCATTGCTGCTGATGTTATTGGCATTTAATCCAATATGACCTATCCCAGATTGACAAACTTTAGTCCTCTTTGATAAGTTAATTCTCATTTGTACTGGTTCACTCTAAAAAAAATGTTTGTATTTTGTTAAAAATTATTAAACAATAAAAATACAAAAAATATTTTCTTATTTTTGAATTTAATAAAGTATAAAACCTATATTATATTATTTTTTTGATATGTACAACTTTTCGATGGATGTATATTAAAAAATTGCATGTATGCCTTTTTCTTACTTTCATAAAAAAATCTCTGTTCTTTTCAAGTCTTTAGTTTTTACCTATCTGTATTTTTATTATTTGTAACTTTAATGCTCATCAATAAATTTGCTCCAGTTTCTACTGAAACTGATATTTGTCTCTCACTAAGAACTTTGTAACTCATTTTTGACAATCCATATCACTAAACTTTGTTCCTTGATTTGTGTCTTGTCTCTTTTACCCTAACTTGTGTTTGATCAATTCTATATACCAAGTAATACCAGTAAGTTTTGATCAAGTGAGCATAACTTGTGCTTCTTTAAGCTTTTTTTCTTCTTTAAACTATTTATCAAGTAAAATTCACTAAATTGTACTTTCCTGCCTGCTGACCTCTCAAGCTGTTCAGTTATTTTACTTGTATCAACGAGGTCTTTGAATTTTAATAAATTTCTAATATCTCATATAGACTAACATAACAATTTTAATAAACTTCTAATATCTCATATAGACTAACATAACAATTTTAATAAATTTATAATATCTCATATAGACTAACATAACAATTTTAATAAATTTATAATATCTCATATAAACTAACATAACAATTTTAATAAATTTATAATATCTCATATAGACTGACATAACAATTTTAACAAATTTCTAATATCTCATATAGACTAACATCTGAAGATCAATAAAGATTTTAAACTGGGTGTTTTTTACTGGTTTGTTATTTGTAATAAAGTATGTAAAAAAATTAAAACTACTTCGTGTTAATCACAAAGTTTTATTAGAATTGTCCTCAATGAAAGACGCTCTTCATCATTTCCAGAAACTCTTGGGGTAACACAAATTTCTAAAACTTGGTTCCATATTTTACCTATATTATTGATCTTCCTGAAAATATCACCTCTAGAGATATGCAATCATGAATCAGATCTCTTTTCTGTGACAGCTTAGGGTTTGCAGTTGTTGGTAAATTTTTTTATTTCTAAATTTTCTGTTTCTTTTTAACAATTACTGATAATACAATAAATGTTGCTGCCTAATCTTAATATCACATTTTATCTTTTACTCCACCTAGTAAAATATTGTATTTTGATAAACACACACGCAGATATATATATATATATATATATATATATATATATATATATATATATATATATATATATATATATATATATATATATATATATATATATATATATATATATGTATGTATCTATGTATATGTAGCATATGTATATGTAGCATATATATATATATATATATATATATATATGTATATGTATATGTATATGTAGCATATGTACTGTGTAGTAAAATATAATACTGTTAACAATCTCCATTTACAGTAACTGTTTCTTCATGTTCAAAAAACTTAAGTTTTTTTTATTTGTGTGATTACTGCTTTTTATCAAAGTACTGCTGGTCGTTTAGCAATATTTTAGGATTCTCTCCCATTATTTTGTTTTTTTTTGCCAACTTTTTTCTTGCTCTTTATCACTTTTTTTTTTTTTCTAATGTACACATAAAAATGTCCAAACAACAATGTTAAAATTCAGTACGCAATTAAAACAAAAATTTTTTTTTTGTCTGTTTGTTTTTTGACTTTAACATGTAAAAAGTAATATAAAAAAAATAAAAAAATAAAAAAAGACTAATTTAAAATTTAAATTCAAAATTAAAGTAAAATTGTTTACTTTTTTTAGCATTTTATCATGACATAACTTCTGTAGGTCTGTTGCTTCTACTTTCCAATTTTTGCTATCTGAACAAAAAAACAAACAAAATATGCTTAATTGTGTAATTTAACTCAGTAAAATTTATTTTATTTACATCACATTCAAGAATAAATTTTTAACAGTTTCCTTTGCTTCTTTAAATATTTTTTTAAATATTTTTTTAATATTTTTCTTCAAATATTGTAAGATATAATTTTCTCTCTTTTTTTATATATATTATTTATGTGTTTTACTGCAAAAATGAGCAATTTATTTTACCATTTTTGTTTTTTTTAGTTGAATTTTCCTAAATATCTTTCAATTTTATTGTGCAGTCAAATAAAAAAAAAAAAATTAAAGCCTACCATTTGAAATACTTAAATGTCAAAGTAAGGCATATTTGTTTGTACCCTGACCACATTTCCTTAAACAGAAAGGAAATTTTTCAAATAATTCTCTTTTCGTGACTTAGCTCATGACTTAAGAAAATCTTTTGTTCAGTTTTAGTTTTGTTTTTAACTTTTGCTTAAACTTATAATAAAGTGATTTTTTGAATAAAGTTTTTTTTTTTTTTTTTTTTGAACTGTATATTATTTGTTATACTACTTTTCACTACTTAATGTTTCATTGTTCAACATTATTTATAAAAAATAATGATCTAACATTTTTTGTAGATAGCTAGTATAATAATAAATTTTATTTTTACGTTTTTATAAATTATTTACCATTCTATTTATTTTGTGACTTCCTTTATTATACATTAATATATTCTTATAACGCTAAAATAAATGTATATATATATTTTTTATAGGCTGAACTAATTCAGAGCAATACAATTACCACATTGATACTACACTGAAAATTAAATACATTAAAAGAATATTGCAAAAAAATTATTTCCCTCATATTTGTCTTAATTTAGCTTTAAACTGATGGCTTTCTCAATTAAAAAAAAAAAAATTTTAATAATTATAATATATAAATAAATTTTAATATTTAAATTTGTATTTCAGAAATCTTTTCGAAAATCCGAAAAAACTAAAAGTGGAAAGAAATACCCAGTATCTTGGATATATCCGGAAAAAGATAATCTTTGTTTTTAATCCATCACTACTCAATTTTTTTGACCAACCAGGGTAAAGGACTTTTGACCAATCATTTCTTTTTGTTCTATTATGATAAAATATACTTCGATAACTATATATTGATGTCACACTGAATTAGTCATGGCAGTGAATTTTGGTGCATAATTTGACAGAAGATTTGGGTTTGAGCAGGTAATAAAAACAAGTATATACTAATATTAAAAACATTTATTGTAAAAAAATGTTATTTATATATATTATTTATATGCTTCCTGCCCTAACTTTCAGTTAATGAGCTAAAGTTGATGTCTAAGACTATTTTAGTATGTCGTCAAAAATGTTTTACGCACAATTATATATGCATGGGATGATATATATCAATAAATGCTGCATTTAACGCACACTGATGTCATCATACTTAAATAGTCATTATACTTAAATAGTCATCTGCTGGAGCTTCACTACATACATCAACTAAGGATTTAGGGTTTTAGAAATTTAAAAACGTAAAAATACTAAATTAAATTTTTTCTTAAAATCAATTTAATAAAGACTGACTTTTTCATTAATTTGAAAATAAATTTTTAACTTAATGAAAAATGCCAATGAAAAACAAATGATCAAATTTTTTTGTATTCAAAAATTATTTTTTCATTGACAACCAATTAAATTTATTCCAGAATTTTCAAAAACCGTTTTAAGAAATAGAAAAACTTTTAAAACAGAAATATCATTTACAAGAAAAAAATATGCATAAATATTATAAGAAAATTAAGCACTCCTTTTGTATAAATATATAAAATTTACTTATGATGGAATTTTAAACCAATATTATGGCCATAACTAAAAAAATAAATGGAACTCATTTAGTTTACTAACCTATCAAAACTTTGGTTGCAAACACAACTGAAACAAATCTTAATCAATTGCTATATGCTTTTTACCAATATTATATTTACCTAAAATTCTCCAGGGCCACATTTTTTTTAAAGTTCAAAGTCTTTGTTTGACAACTTTCCATAAGCTGTTTTGTAGATCAAGATTGAGTTATTTTATAGTGAACACAAAAATCAAAGGTTTATAAGCTCTTCCACCTCTAAAACACAACTGGGAGTTTTATATCAGAACTTTTCTTCTCTTAGATAAGTCACCTCAACACAGTTAAAAACCCTTACCTGCCTCATATAAAGCAGCTTGTACTGAATTATATGTTATCAGTTGCAAGACTGACCATATAAACCTAACCTCTAAACCATTAATAAGGTTTCAAATAAAATAATAAAAATCAATACAATTTATAACTATATAAATTCATAACTACAACTTATAACTACACTCTTATAACTATCAAAAAAATATTGCAAATACAATAATTGCAATTGTTGTTTAAATTATTTTATCTGCACTACATACCATTTTGTTTTCCTGATATTAAAACATTGATCATATCACCATAGTTATTTAGACCTAAAACAACAAACAAAACATATCATCATGAATAAACACCACCACCAAATACCACAAACACACAAAAACTTGTTTCTTTAAAGGTTAATATTTTCTCCATACAAATATATATATATATATATATATATATATATATATATATATATATATATATATATATATATATATATATATATATATATATATATATATATATATATATATATATATATATATATATATATATATATGGTAAATAAAACATAAAGTACTTTTTAATTTAAAAAAAATTGTTTTGAATAAGCAAAAATATATAATGTATATTTTACATTTTACATTATAAATTTTACAATGTAAAATGTAGAGTTGACACAACCAAATGTGTTTGAGGTCTGCAAATCTATTTGAAAGACGTCCTGCAAAGAAACCTTTTTTAATCTATCAAGAAAACACACTTAAGATTTGTTAATGAACATTTGAATTGGGCTGGAGAACAATGTTAGAAAATACTTTTTAGTGATGAATCTAAGTTTATGTTATTTGGATCTGATGGTATTACATATGTTCATCAACCAAAAGACCATAAAAACAATTCTAAATACCAGCTACCAACAGTAAAGCATGTAGGTGGAAACATTACAGTCTGCGATTGTTTCAATAGAGATTGTATTGGTCCTATCAATTTAAATGATGGCATAATGGACAAAAATATGTTTAAAGGTATCATAAGGATGTTATGCTACCAAATGCTAAAGCAGAATGCCTGAGGATGGATATTTTAGCAAAATGACCCAACGAACACTTTAACTCTTGTGAGAGGCTTTTTCAAAACCAAAAAAATCATGCCCAGAAACTTTTGTGCGCAAAAGTATCTGAGTATGAAAAAACTCAATAACATTTAAGATTAGATTGATTAGATTTAATATAAAATCATTTGTTTTTAGATTTGTATCTCAAGTTATGGACTTGACAGCTATTTTTGCACATACATACATGTATACATGCATACATGCATTCATACATACATAGATACATACATACATACATACATACATACATACATACATACATACATACATACATACATACATACATACATACATACATACATACATACATAACATATATACAAGTGTACACTAACGGGTACATTAAAATGTCCCCGATAATGCTTATGTCCCTATTATATATATATATATATATATATATATATATATATATATATATATATATATATATATATATATATATATATATATATATATATATATATATATATATATATAAATTAAAGATTTTTTTTTCTTTTTTAAAGTAAAGTTTTTTTTGGTAAGTATAAGTAAGTATTTTTAGCACATTTTCAAATTTTGAAAACATGTTAAAAGCCGTAGTCAAATCATCAAAGTATTTTTTGCATGGTCATATAATGGAGCAGGCTTGTGGAACCAAGCCGGAGCCGCGAAAATTGAGCGGCTCTCGGTTCTCGTTTTTTTTTCAAAGGAATAGATTGTATGTTTATTATTTTACTGTAGACAAACTACATTTGTACTAATTTGTTTAATGAATTATTTATTGAAAATATTTTTTTCTAACAATTACAGCTATGCCAAAACTTAATAAAAAATGAATATTTTAACGATTTTGTGCTCAACAAAATACTATCCTTTAATAGCATTTCTTAATATTCTTTATTTAAATAAAAAGTAAATTATAAATGGAAACATTACAGTAATGCACATATTGCTTTATATTATATTTTCATACTAATACTATGCTGTTAGATATTTAATGCACGATTTAACAATCAAAGGTTATTTATATCTTAAAAATTAAACTAAAGCATGCAATCATTTAATTTACAACGATAAATTTCTTTTAAAACTTGTCACTAACAAATTATTAAATTTTTTTTTTTGCATAATTACATAAAGTAATTATAGCATTAATTAAAAACATCAACAAACAAATTAAAATATTTCTCTTAATTAAAATGTCATTGAAACATTTAGAAAAATAAAAAAAATTCTGCACAACTATTTAAGAAATCCTTCTGCATTGTTAATTTCAATTGCTAAGGCATCTGAATCTAGCAAAACTACTGTTTGTAAGGTCATAAAACAATACAAAAGTTCTCTATCTATCAAACAAGCAAAAGGATCTGGATAAAGAGTGGCTTTAAAGATAAGAAAACCGCAATTAGTATTCGACGATCATTCATGCAAAACCCCGGCTTATCAAATAGAGAACGAACCAAAGGATATAAAGTTTCAGAGTTTTTTAAGGATTAAAATTTGGCAAGCAATATGCAACTGCGGTTTGAAATCTCAAGTTTTTGTCACATCGTCAACTTTAAACTTGGATGTTTACATCAATACTTGCAAGCTAGACTTTTGAAATTTTATCAAAGTCATGATGTCCCTTGTTGGTTCTGGCCTAATCTTGCTTCTTAGCATTATTCTAAGAAGAGTGACATCAAATTCATACCAAAAAACTTGAATCCATCAATTTGCAAACAGTTCCGTTCCATTGAGAAATTTTGGGGAATCGACAAAGGATATTTGCGTAAAATTGGCACAACAATAAATACAGCCTAAGATTTGATTAGAGAGTGGACATTAATAGGAAAAAAAATAAGCGTAAATGTTTGCTTATTTATTTGAAATAATAAAAATATTAAAGTAAAAAGCACTTTTACAATCTTCAAGTTCCTTAGATTAAAATAAATATTTTTTGTAGTTTTTGCATTAGTTGAACTATTTTTCTTTTTTTTTTAATTTTTTATCATTTTTAATTTAACAATCACATGTTTTACCCAGTGGGTATGGGACATACAAAAGAGGTCTTTTAATTGTCTTTGGAGTGTTTTGAACATCTTTTGAACGATCAAAATGTCTTTTTTAGGTCCTGTACCCACTGGATACTCAGTGGGCACGGGACTCATTGAGGACATAAGAAAGACGTCTTTTAAAAATCTTTTGAACATTTGGGGTGCCTTTTGAATGTTTTTTCTTTTGGACGTTCAAAAGACGTCTTTTTTAAGTACTGTGCCCCCTGGGTAGAATTAGAACTCAATTTTGAACCAAAAACTTTAGCTTTTGGTAAATAATATACAGAAAAAAGTGTTTATTACCCAAAAAAATTTAATAACCTTGTAATCATGAGAGTTGGTTAAAAATTAATTGCTATAATTGGTATAGTTTTGGGTTGGCAAATGTGATCAGAAAAAAAATTTTAAACTTGCAATTTTTGTTCACATAGTTAAGGAGTTGGAGCCGAGCCAGATATTTCTTAGGAGCCAGAGCCAAGCTGTAAAAAAAACAGTTGGCTTCACAAGCCTGTAATGCAGTGCGATCCTATGTCTTTCTGTGAAACACTGCATACATATATTAGAAAGGAGTGTAAAGAAAAATTCTAAACATATCTTGGTTGGATAGCTATAAAAACTTGCTAACTCATGCAGCTAGTAATGAGGCAAACAGTTAGACAATTTATCTTGAGATTCTTGATTGAGATATTTGAGAAAAAAACAAGCATTTATAAGCAACATATTTGTTATAGTTTAACTTTTAACAGTCTGTACAAATATTACAAGTAGTAAAAACCATATCTTTGATATGGAAACATAAGCAAATTGTCTAACATTTTTTAACAGCTACAAACGATGTTAGACCTTGGTGTCTCTAAGTATGCTCTAATGACTTTATTTTTTTTCCTGGACCTCACACCACTTTAGATACATCTGTAACTATCTTGATACGTCATTTTATTGCCAAGGTGTGACAAGGATAACAGACAATGGTTTTTTCTTCCCGAATCATGGTTAACAAAGTATCATCATCAATGTCTATTATGATCAGAGGCTCTGTGATCAGAGTTTGACTACCAAGTGTACACAGAAAGTTCTAACTGAACTTGTATGTTTCTGCTTTCTAGATTTGAGTATGCTTTACAGAGATAACTAGCATATAACCAAATTTTTTTCGTTTTTACATGCTACAGGTTTTCTGGATGATTGAAGAATTAGTTGCATGGAATTATCAGACCAACAACTTTCTTTAGCTTATCTGAAGTAGCAAGATTTTAACATTGTACTGTGGACATTTCAAGTACCGTCTTTACATGAAGGAGTATTCTTTATTTCAAAAAATGCTGGTGCATAAACTGTCATGATGAAGGCAACAAGCGCCTTTAGTTCATCTAACGGGCTTTTTAGTGGAAACATACAGAGTAGAATGCGATTAGCTATTGCTAACCACCTTCAATGGTTGATAAGAAATGGATTGCAAAATGAATGTTCGTTAGGATAAACACCAACACTTACAGCAGTACACAAGTTAAATAGATATATTCAATCTATCCATAAATTGTCATTATTTAGAGTTGGCGGTAGAACAAAGTTCTTTATTTAGTCCACAATCGGAAGCTTCCCATAATTTCAACTGTAATTTGTTTGCATATAACTAACATACAAAACATTGCAACGGTCTGTGTAATGTTACTTCAAGTAATCGAAAGATGTCTCTTCGAATATATTAGCGTCTATCAGGGGTGTGGAGTCGTAAAAAAAAAGTAACGACTCCGACTCCAACTCCAGTTGTTCAAATTTTTTTAGTCCAAAGTAAAATTTTTGAAAAATTCTTTGAATTTTTTTTTAAATATTGCGCGATAAGTTAAAAAAAAAAAATTTTTGACAAATTTATGCAATGTTGTTTGAAGTTTAGTATGAACATAAGGTTAATTGAATGCTTTGTACATGCACGTGCAATACCAAGAAATATTAGTTTTATGCCGCTGGTGTCAACATTTTTTTAAATCAAATATGTAATAAACTCAGTTTGTAAATAAAAGCTTGTTACAGTTTAACTTTGCTTGACCCTGCAGTTGGTGTAATGTGACCAAAATGTGTAAAACCTGGTTTGGCTACAAGGAGCAAATTAACTCAAATTTACCAGATCGTGAAATTTTTTGCAGAAAAAACAATAAGTCTACTGCAACAAAAATAGCAAAGCTCTTTCATAAGACTTACAACTAATACACTTTAAATATTATTTGTATAGAACATATGTTAATTATATATATTAAAATATGCAATTCAGGTAATACAAGTACAAGATAAAAGTACTTATTGTTATATGCCATAAATAAAAAAATAAATAGAAATGAGGTAAATAAAAGCTTGTTACTACTTTAACCAACTTCAAAAGCATATACAAAACATATGAACTTAAAAGACAAAAATTTCTTGGTGATACTTGTAGTGCAAAAAGTACACGTTTTAGTTTTAAAATTAGCTTTCCCTGAGCTGAAGAACAAATAGTTAAAAGAAATATTTGTCTGACTTTCAAGATTGTTAAATGGTTTTGTCCTATTGCAACTAGTGATTTGTTATTGCAACTAGTGATTTGCTATCGCTTGGGGTATAACCAATATGTTTGAATATTATTTTTTAATAAAATTTACCATTGCATTTTTAGTTTGGGTCATTGTATTGACTTTTCTGACGTCAAAATATAACCCAGTGATTGTGTTACTGATTTTGGCACAATGCCCTAAATCTTTTACAATGTTCTTGTAGTACTTTACTTTTGACAATCACTTTAGGAACATAATCTTTGTTTTTCAATTCTGCTTCAGTCTTATTATTTGCATCAAATACACCATGACGATTACAACAACAGTAGCTTAACTCTTATCTGCTTGTTATTAGATTTACTGTTGTTTATTAGGATCCATACAATGGTTATCAGAGTCGCCATTGCTGGTATCAATTTCCTAATGCGTAAAAGAAATCTTGTTACAAACATCCAACTATTTGTCACCAATTTCCCACAGTTTGATCATACTGTGCGAATTCTCTTGGGCTTCTAGAAAGTCACGCTCAATTGTGGCAGAGTTATTAACAAGGCCAAAAGTAGCAAGGCCAAGGACAAGACCAAGGACAAGAGTTTAGGGGACAACTGAATAAGTGCAAATTTCATAAGTGCAAACTGACATAAGTGCAAATGACTTAAGTGCAAATGGCATAAGTACAAACTGGCATAAATGCGAAACAGTTACAAAAACTGGCACAAGTGCGATCTGGCATAAGTGCAAATTGGCATAAGTGTACCAAACGAATTTTCAATGGAAATTTATTTGGCACACTTATGCCAATTTGCACTTATGTCAGTTCGCACTTGTGCCAGTTTTTGTAACTGCTTCACACTTATGACAGTTTGCATTTATGCCAATTCACACTTATGCTAATGTTTTCAAAACTTTTTGATTCACTTATGCTAATTTGCACATATTCTAGTTCGCACTTATGCCAGTTTTTGCAATGCTTCACACTTATGCCAGTTTGCACATATGTAAATTCACGCTTATTCAGTCTACTGTAGTTAAGAGGTTAAGAACAAGAGTTATAAGGCTAAGGTCTACGCAAACATTTTCAAAGCCAAAGACTTGAATTTTGACCTTACATTAAAGCCATTGTTAACAAAACTGCAAGTAGCAAGTGCTGTGACAATAAAACCACATGTTGTGAAATTATACGTTATGGGCAGAATTTGATGAATTCAACGAAGTCAGTAAGAAAATATATTTGAAGATAATATGAAGGCCAAAAACAAAAATTTGTAAAAATAAAAAACAAAATTCTTCATTTTCATGTATTTTATTTTTGTGCTTAATGCTAACAACTAATATTAAAATCTTTTAATTATGTTAAAATATGTTAAAATATGTTGAATTTAGTTGTTTTAACTATATGTCAAAAGCATTAATTATCACTATATAGTCTACAAACCTTTGTATTATTTAAGAAACATCAAAATTTCAAGCATATACATGCTCTATGAAAGTGCATTATCCACTCTGACAAAAGATACGCTTGACAGGAGCTGATGTTGCAAGGACACAGAAATACTTGTCAAATGTATATTTCTACTTTTTGAATATTGTTTCATTGTGTACAATTTTTTTAAATGAAAACTCTTTTTAATTAAACTCTAATAATTTATTCGTTCAAGATAGTTTGTCAAAACTATTTTGTTTGTAAAACATGATTTTTTTATAATTTGCGAAAAAGGTTTTTTTTTTTATGGTAAAAAGCTTTTAAATCTGAGGTGTAATACTATTTTTAGATGTCAAAGCAATTTCTGGTGTTGTTCTTGAGCAAATTTTTGATAGCTCATTGACCAAACTATCAAAGAAGGATGTTAAACTATTGCTTATTGGTTCAAAGTTGGATTCTGTAATTAAAATTAAAAAAAAAATGATTCACTAACAACTTTTTAGATAAGCTGAATAAAAAAAATACAAATAAGTAAAAAAAACTTAATAATAAATTATTATTTAAATATAATAAAAATTATTTTAATTCAAAAAGCCTTTACAATTCAGTTTTTAATTTTAAGAAATTCATGTGTTTAAATCTTATTTAAATTTTGAAATGTTTTAACTAATTAAAAAATGTTAAAACCAGGGCTGTGGAGTCGGAGATGCGACATTTTCAGCAGAGTCGGAGTTGCTAAACAAAATCACAACTCAGACTCCAATAGTAAAACTTCTCGGTATTGCACGTGCATGTATAAAATATTCAATTAACCTTATGTTCATACTAAACCTCAAAGAACGTTTCATAAATTTGTTAAAAATTTTAAACTTGTTGCATAATATTTTTTAAAGAATTCAAAGAACTTTTTAAAAATTTTGCTTTGTAGTTGGAGTCGGAGTTGTACTCAAAAAATTTAAACAACTGGAGTCAGAGTCGTTACTTTTTTTTTACGACTCCACCCCTGGTTAAAACAAACTATATGGCTTAATATGTGGATGTATTTAATTCCTGTTAACCAATCATGCCATTATTTGTTATTTTAAAATGCCAAGTCAAAAATGGCAATTTAAACGGTGAAAAAACGCAAAATTAAGGTCTAAAGCTTTTAAGTAAGCAAAAATAACACTTGCAAACAAAATCAACTGTAATAAAATTTTTAAAATGTAAACACAAAAGAAAGTTTTAAAATTAATGTGAAAAGATGGAAGGCCAAGGCCAAAGCGTTCAAGACCAAGGCCAAAATGTTCAAGGCCAAGGTCAACAGTTTTAAAGCCAAGACCAAGGCCAAGGCTTCAATTTTGGGCCTAAAGGCAAGGCCAAGGAATAATAACTCTATATTCTGGGTATCTTTCTTAACTTCTCAAAGTGATACGGAGATAAGCAAGAACACTTGTAAGAGCAAATGTCAAAGAGTTTAATTGATTAATCTTTCAACTGAAATATTTTCTCTTTGTATGATTGTTATTCCTTTTTATAATTAAATAGTCTCAGCAAATTCTTGAACTTTTTGTGGCACACATTCAACAATTCTTGAATACAACCATGTTGTATGGAAGCTTACATGTTGTGTGGAAGCTTTGTCAGGTTGTAGAACTCCATACCAACTGAACAAAATGGTAGTTGATTGTCAAGTATCTTGGAGGGAGCACTAAAGTTGACACAAGACAACTATTTTAAATATCAAAATAGTTGTCTACAATGTATGCAGATAATTATTTTGCTATTAAGAAGTAATGAAAATATTATTTAAATGTTATCAATGACTAGAATAACAAGTTATTACCTTTTATAATGAAGTATTGACTAATTATCACTAACAATTCTACATAAAGTGATTATACAAGAATAAATGTTATGCAAATTTGTATGCAATAATCTATTTGATGGGACTCTAGAAACAGGAATTAAATGAAAAAACACCAGATAGCAGATACATTATTGGTATCTTATAAATGGTTACATTTTAAAGTTGCTTGTGTAACCTCAAGACAATATTTAAATTTTTTTTTTACTGAATACTTCATTGTAGTTCAGAGAAAGTTTTTATAACTATCCAAAGTATACCAATTCAAAGTATAAAAAATTCTTTCATTTTCATTGCGTCCCAACATACATACAAACATACATACATACATACATACATACATATATACATACATACATACATACATACATACATACATACATACATACATACATACATACATACATACATACATACATACATACATACATACATACATACATAAATACATACATACATACATACATACATACATACATACATACATACATACATACATACATACATACATACATACATACATACATACATACATACATACATACATACATACATACATACATACATACATACATACATACATACATACATACATACATACATACATACATACATACATACATACATACATACATACATAAATACATACATACATACATACATACATACATACATACATACATACATACATACATACATACATACATACATACATACATACATACATACATACATACATACATACAAACATACATACATACATACATACATACATACATACATACATACATACATACATACATACATACATACATACATACATACATACATACATACATACATACATACATACATACATACATAAATTTACCTGTATCTTCAGTCATTGTATCAACAACTTCAAAGTAATCATGTGCAAGTTTCGAATTGATTTCATTAAAAACTCCATTACTCAATCGATTACTGTTTTAAATAAGAAAAAGGAACTGTCTGCATCATTTAACAGAAACTTATATAAAAAAAAAACTTTTTAATAAAAAAAAGTATAAAACAATGTAATACAATATAAAACAAATAAAAACTTATATAAAATAATTTTTCATATAATTTATTTGTTAGTATTGAGTTAGTTTTTGATTTAAACACTACTAACAAAAATGTTAACAACTCAATAAATTAGTCAAGTATCTTATTTTGACATTTGTACCTGTGTGCTCTCCAATAAAAACATCATAAAATACAAACAATAAACAATTTTTTTAATAAGCTTTATTTTAGTGTTATAAATAACCATTTTTTATATTTTTAAGTATAAATAAGGATTAAATAAGTATAAACTATTATTTCACAATTAAAAGCAGATTCAAACTGAAATTAAATTTCAGTGTCTCACTATGTTTTTCTTGTTCAATTTATTATTATATCAATACTAAATTCATATTATAGAGATTTATTTATGTTCATGGTGTATTGTTTATAACTTTGTTTCAATCCATGTCAACTATTTATTTCCTGATTTTTTGTGAATTTAATATTCTTATCTGTGTAATGCAAAGTTGGTAATAAAACCCAACCCAAAAAAAAAACAAAAAAACCTAAAATATATTCGGGTTTTTTAAAAGTGTTCTTTTTTACAACTGATAACTCTGATTTTAACTATTATAAATTCTTTATTATCAACAAGTACAACTTTTATACTGTAAATACTCTTGTAAACATGTATTTATATACAAAATAGTATTTAGAATATAATTTTTAGTTCGAACTCCTTACAGAATAATCCAAAACCGATCATTTTTTTTTTGTAGAAAGTTGATAACTTATTATTTTTTTAAACCATATTGCAAGTTAAATATTAAAAAAAATTACTGAAATAGATATCAAAATATTAAATTAGTTGAATATTTATAAAGGAAATAAAAATCATTTAAAATACAAGATATTACTAGCGATTCAGTATCTTTACTCTCCTCTCAAATATTTCCAAACAAGCGTTTTATATATGTCATTTTATATTGGTATTTATTTTTATTTTTTAAAGCTTATGTTTTAAAGTGCAAATTTCATAACAAAGCCACAAGCAAAACACTATTTATAAAAGCTGTTAAACTTTATTTGCAGTCTAGAAATGGAAAGTTGTTACTTTTGATGTCACAATATGTTACAGTTTACTAGACTGTGGGCTTGTCTTTGTTAAGTGCATACAACTTTAAAACATAAAAAACATGTTATGTGCAACATATTTGCTCATTCAACGAGAGAACATGTTGGAAACTTTGGATGCACTTCACAAGGACAAGATTTAATGGTGAAATTGATACTTTATTTTACAGGTTTTGAATATTTTATATCAGCTACAAGTTTACAACATATACCGTCAACAGGGGTGACTATGAACAGCAGTTTGAAAATGAACATCAGTACCAAGTTTGCTAAAAGGTGAAGAAACACGCACAATAGAGCAATTACTGCAATAAGAAAATTACTGCATAATGTTGATCATAACTTTTCTAGGAAGCTAGACAGTATGTTCTGTTAAAAAAAACTAGTGATTAAGCTAACAGTTTTCTTCTATGATGCAAAAAAATTTTAAAAATGTTCATAGTCATTCGGATTGACAATAGTTTACAAGGTTGCAACATCATGTTGCAAATTTGTTGATTACATGTTGTAAACTTGTGCAAACTAGTTTTTCACCTCCCTATTACTCCAGGTCACTGGAGCAATGAGTTTTTGAAATTAAAAAAAAAAATTCCTGTACACATACAGTAATTTTTTTTTTAATTGTACAGTAATTTTTTTTTCAAAAATTACTGTACAATTATAAAAATTTGGTATTTTGATCAGTTTTTTAAAAAATCCAAAAAAAAAAACATAAAACCCAAAAAAACCCAATACAACCCAAAAAAAAAAAAATTAGGGTAGGTTTTTTTAAAAAAAAACCCTGGGCTGATATAATTGATGACCCTGGGATGATATAATTGATGCACATGTGTGACATCACATGTGCATCAATTTTTTTTTTTTAATGATATTCTAGTAATACAACTAAAAAAAAAATCACATTTTTTTTTTAGTTGTATTACTAGAATATCATTAAAAAAAAATTTTTATTTAAAATTTTCAATACTTTTTATTTATAACTAAGAATAATTTTAAAATGTGCATTAAAATTATTTAAGCATCTTTTTATATTTTATAAACAAAACTGACATGATTTGCCAAATCTTGCACAACATTTATTTGGAGATTTTATCAGTGCTTCAATTGGTTTTGATTTGCATTTTTATAGGTCTGACTGCATTGGACTGAAATTATTTGAATTTGAAGTGAATCATTAGCTTCAAGTTCAAATCTAAAGATTAACAAGTTAAAATATTTTGATTATTTTTCAAAAATGCAAAAGAAGTTTTTACAAATTATTAAACTTAAATATCCAAAATATTTTGAAAATTTTCCCTGGAATCAATGCTTAACCAGAATTAATAATTAACAAAACATGAGACCAGAATTAACCATAACTTGTACTATTTACACATATAAAAAGGTATTCTGAGATTTTAATTTTTTAGCAGCATTTTAAATTTTTATTGAAACTTTACTTTTTTATTAGTTTAGAAGATATACCTTTTAAATAATTCATTTGTAAATGTCATTAGTAAACGAAGTTGGTCAGCTTTCTCGCGACCTGAAGCACTTTCAGCAGAAAACTTCAAACTAGACCAGAAATTACTAAGTAAAGACTCTTCGTGGCTTGCCATTATTTGTTACTAATTTTCTGTAATCAAATTAAATGTTAATTAAAATATAACAATTCTATAATTACCTCCAATAAAATACAAACCTAAGATAAAAAAACTTTAAGATTTTAAAAATACTTATAAATTATATTTATAAAACACTTAATAGATATGTTGAATATATTTGTTTTTTATTTATCATATATGATAAATATAAAATAACATATATGTTATTAATGACAAAATAACATATATGTTATTAATGATAAAATAACATATGTGTTATTAATGATAAAATAACATATATGCTAAATTTTTAAACTTTAACTTTTAATTCATTAATTTAATCATTTATAATTGTTGCAGTAGTGCGATGGTAAAAACTTGCTTTATAAGCCTTATAAAGCATTCTATACATTGACTTTTCCTAAAGTTATGCTAACGCAGTCAAGAAGGATGTTCTTTTTTTTCTCTCTATTAATTTTGCTATTACCCTCTAAATAATATAACTTCAGAGTTTTGACCAACAAGGCTGCAACAAGTATAGTACTACCAGAGATATGGTAGGATTCGAGCTCTCTACCTCTCCTTATAATAAGGAGAGGTAGAGAGCTCGAATCTCTACCTCTCCTTATAATAAGGAGAGGTAGAGAGCTCGAATCCCACCATATCTCTGGTAGTACTATACTTGTTGCAGCCTTGTTGGTCAAAACTCTGAAGTTATATTATTTAGAGGGTAATAGCAAAATTAATAGGGAGAAAAAAAGAACATTCTTCTTGACTGCGTTAGCACAACTTTAGGAAAAGTAAATGTATAGAAACAAAATACTTGAATAAGTATATAAGTTGACAAATAAAAACTTATACTTTTGTATTTTTTCTATTAATTCAAAATTACGTTATTTACCTCCTCAAGGTCGAGGCAGTGCCGCCGAGAGGGGGGATCGCGAGGGACAGTAAGTCCCGGGCGGCAGATATCCAAGGGGTGCCAAATGAATGTAGTTACCTCAAAAAAAAAAATAAGGTCCTTCATAAATAATATAGGCAAAATTTTATAAATAAAGACGCCTTGCTGTCCCAGGCGGCATGACAGCTCTCGGCGGCCCTGGGTCGAGGCGGCTACTACAGCCAAAGAGACTATTTTTTTTGTGGTTACAACCCTCTCTCAACTCTTTAATTCTGAAACACAATTCTTGAACAACAATACTGTGTGCAGAGAAACAAGTTGAAGCAACAAAACAATATGCTGCTGGCTATTTTAGTAGGCTGTACACATTAGTACACAGTAGTAGCAGACATTAAACTATCTACTTTACTTTTTTATCTGAGAATAGTTGACAGATAATTATAAGTGGGGCCAGGTTTGATAAAATATAGCAGGGCCGGTTTATAATATTTCTCTTAAGAACAAATTTCCTTTTACTATTGCAAGCAGCCAATATAAAATGGTCCTGTTCAATGTTAAGCTCTGTTATTTTCAGTTTACTAAATCTCGTATCTTATTTCAGATGCTAGGTTCTAGAGACTTTCAGAAAGTCTTCAACAGTTTCATTAACTAAAGTTAGTCAAACATTTAGTCTCTTATTCATGGGTCTGATTTTTCTATTTCTCCCTAAAATAGACTAGAATTATTTGGAAAGAACTTTTAATCTAACTAGACTATTGAATCTAAAGGCCATATTCTTCTTGTGATACCAGGCGCCGAATGTTAAAGTTAATTTTCAATTGAACATTTCTACAGCTTGTGCTTCAGACAAGATTTCCATCATAGTCTTAAAAAATTGTTCTCTAGAAGTCTTTTCAATTTTTGCTAAACTATTAAAATGTGCTAAATAAAGTTGTTCCAATTTTTTAAAACTTTAGAAAACAATTTAACCTCTCCAACTATCCTACGATTAGTCTTTACTTTGTAATTAATTTCTTTATATAAAGTTTTTGAGATTGTTAAGTCATTTCTTTCTAACTCATCTTGGACAGATGTTAAACGCATCCGGTTACTGTCTTGTAGAAGGCCTCCTAGGCAAAGGCCTCCTAGACTCTATCTCTTAATCAGCGTCGCACTCTTTCATCATCTATTAGGCTGGCGCAGATGTATTTATAATACATTGTTTCCAGTTTAGGGTGTTGAATGCTGAATCTTCTGGACTCAATGCATGGGTTTTGCTTGTGTCTCTGTTTTTATGACTAGGCAACTCATTCTATTATCTCCTAATGAGTGTACAGCTCTAAAACTCAGTTATATTTTTCTGAAGCCGGCTGGTAGTCAGATTTCCCAAACTCTTTGGTAGCTCTAAGAGAGGCTGATTCCATTAACAGCTGAATAGTTACATGCTTGGCCTGGACATTTACATTCGTAAGAACTCTCCCATTTGTCGAGAAACTAGGTCTACCGACTATTCTTTTATGTGCTTTTATTTAGCACCACTTCACTCAATTGCTTTTATCTTTGTTCTATATTGCTCTATTTCATCTCAAGACTGCACTCTTTCTGATGTTATTTCTGATCAAATTGACCAAACCCTTTATCCGTCAACCAATATCGTTGTTGGTGGTGACTTTAATTCTCATAACATTGAATGGGTTTTGAACACAATTGAATGCTCATAACAATGAATGCTCATAACATTGAATGACTCTATTGTAAGTGAGTCTGCAGGTGTTAAGGTCCACAACTTTTGCCTTTCTCAATCTCTAACTCAAATAGTCGACTTACTAACTCGTTTTCCAGAATCATTTACCTTCTCTACTTAACTTATGTCTTATTTCTGATCCTAGTCTGTGCCTAATTTGTCCATATTCACCCATAGGTGCTTCTGATCACGGTTTGATATCTCGAAGACTATTATCTCATTCCTCATCATCATCAGAATCCCTTTATCATGGTACCTCTTAAAATTACCTTAATGCTTGCTGGGACTCTTTCCGTGATTTTCTTCATGATGGCCCTTGGGTGAATATCTTTCGTCTTCCTGCTGATAAATGTGTTTCTTACATACTTTCTTGGATTCAGGCTGCCATAGAATCTCTTATTCCCTCTTGATGATTCCAAGTCAAGCTTTACTGTTCTGCTTGGTTTACCTCACATTGTGCTGCTGCAACTTCTAATCGAAACTATTACTGCCATATCTATCAGCAAAACAATTCTCCAGACAACAAACGTTTGTTTACTAAAACTAGAAACCATTGTAAAAAAGTTTTGCCTTACGCCTAAGCCCGCTATACTCAGGTCCTGAAAATCTCGTATTTCATTTCAAAATTAGGCTTGGTACAGTTGAAGATTCTCTTCTGGAGACTCTTTAACAGTACCAATAATAAGGGCAAATCTGTTATTCTACCTCTTTTGTACGGTTCAAATTTTGTCACTTCTAAAGACAAAGCTGAATTGTTTGCTAAGAACTTTTCATCAATATCATTTCTTGATTCCATTAGTTGGTATTGCCAACAAACAGATAGATCTATTGCTTGACATTCGTATTACTCCAGCCTCTGTATCTAAAGTGATTTTCTTGCTTAGGCGCTTTAACAGCTTGTGGTCTGGGCAACATACCTGATATAGTCTTGCAGAAGTGTTCTTTGGAGCTGTTGTCATGCTGGAATACGGCACCTGTTATCCCTATTTTTAAAAATTCTGGAGAGCAATCTGAGTCATCTTCCTACCGTCCCATTAGTCTTCTTCTTATCATAAGCAAGGTTTTTGAATTTTTAATTAACAAACACTTAATCTCTCATCTTGAATCTCATAACTTACTTTCTTATCATTAATAAGGAATTCAATCGTCTCGATCTACAGCTAATTTGCTAACAGTATTAACCAATAATTTTTATTTTGCATTAGATAGAGGTGGAGAGGTTAAGGCTATCGCTCTTGACATCTCTAACGCATTTGATAAAGTTTGGCATGCTGGTCTTCTCCATAAGCTTTCTTCCTTCGGTATATTAGGTGTTATCTTTAAGACTATTGAATCCTTTCTTTCTAATCGCACTCTTTTTCATATCCTATAACTTCAGGAGTTCTTCATGGTTCTATCCTAGGCCCTATACTCTTTTTAATTTACATTAAAGATCTTCTAGATATCCTCACATCTAAGGTGTTATTGTTCGCTGATGATACTACTATTTATTCTTGTCTTGATAAGAATCCTACATTCTCTGATTGCTTGAAGGGGACATCTGCACTTGAAAAGGATCTCACTTCTGCTACAGCATGGGGCTCACAGTGGCTGGTGAACTTTAGTTCAGATAAAACTCAATTTTTTTCAGCCAATTGTTATGGCAATAGTTTAGATCTTCCTATATTTATAAACGGTAATCTACTTATGAGTCATCTACCCTTCATAATCTAGGATTAACTCTTAATATTAAATCCATTTCAAAACTAGCATCTGCTAGATAGCATCTTTTTATCGTGTTCGACACTTTCTTACTCCGGATTCTATTCTTTATCTCAAATCTGTCCTTGTATAAAATACTGTTGCCATATCTGGGGTGGACCTTCCAATGATGCTATTTCTCTTTTATACAAGGTGCAAAAATACATTGTAAACATAGTTTGGCCTGCTCCTGCAGCCAACCTTCAACCATTATCACGTCGTTGTAACGTTACATCTCTTTCTCTTTTCTACAAATACTATAACGAGCAATGCTCTAAAGAGCTAGCGTCTCATGTGCCATCTACTAAAGTTCATTCTTGTGTTACTTGTCAATCAATTAAGTATCATCCTTTTTCAGTAATTATTCCTAAGTGCTCCAAAAACTCTTATTCGTCGAGTTTTTTTCCTCAAACATCAGTTCTTTGGAATTTGCTTCCTTTATCTTGCCTTCGTGATTCATATAACTTGCAATTTTTTAAGTCGTCTTTTAATCGTTATCTTGTTCTATAAACTTAATCTTTTTTTTTCCAGTAACTTCCAACTCTAATAGTGGTTACTTGCAGTCTTGTTGGAAGCGAAGATGTAAAAAAAAAAAAAAAACTGCAGTATTAAAGTTATTCTTGAAAACTTACACTCTTCTTCATATCGAATAGCTTTAGGAGTACCACAAAGTTTTATCTTTGCTTCTGTATTGTTTCTTATTTACAATAATGATCTTCATGATAATTTTACATCTAAAATGGCTCTATTTGCCGTTGATTCTATACTCTTGTCTTAATAAAAAGTCTTCATTTTTTGATTGCTTAGCAACAAGCGAAGACTGAGAAAAAATAATAGTAATAATTACTAATTTAGAAAAACAATCTACAGAAATACGGCTATCGATTTTTTTAAGGTTGCTAAAACCCAAGTCGTTAACTTTTAAAAGGTGTCTAAAATTTCGAGTTTATAGCCTAGTAAATACAATTAGTGGCTGTCCGTTATGTCAAAAAAATAGGGAGGGAGGGGAGGTTAGAATTCTGAAGTTTTTTGACAATAGGAGACAAATTCTGACAAGCGGAGGGGGAAAAGAAAATTAGGCGTCAACAATGTTACTTTTTTTAACAAATTTAATTATATAAAAAAAATATATACATTTTTTTTAGTGTTGTTATCGACTTCGATAAAATTGACTAAAAGTTGACTGGTCGAAAGTCAAAATTAGTCGACTTTGAAAAAATTTTTTAACAATCGCCTTATTGTAACAATATTGGCACCAATTACCAATTTTACCTTTTGTCTCCGGAAGATTGTGGTTGTTATTTCTTATTACCTCAGTACAACCAGACTATCGAATACTACGCTAACGCCAGGACTGATATTACCGGTTGATATATTTTGACGGACCAGACGCAGTATCGAAGTCTCACTTCTACGCATGAGTTTCGATACTTTTTTTATGCTTTTCCCTTCATTAATAAAAAGATTGATGATTAAATTTCTCTCAAACTTAACATTAATTTCTGTGCATTGTATTTGTGCGTTATTCATTTTAGGGTTTTAAAAAACTAAAATAAAAAGAAGCTTAAATTGTAAATAAGGAGTAAAGTTAAATTAAGTGAAGCATTAAAAACAAAGTTAGTTACGATAAAGAAAAACCGACAGATTAAATGAAAAAACCCGCCAGATTCGTGCAAAAAACCATCTTGAACTGTTTTCTATAGACCCTTAAAATTTAAAAGAATTATTTTACTTTTATTTACTTTGCTTAAGTTGAACATTCATTTTGTCAAACCGTTTTCCTTGGTCCCTTTGAAATTCTGTGATTTTACTGCACTCTAAGAAAAAATCCGTTATATACAACGAATTGTATCTGTCACTATTGCACTAACGGGAAATCCGTTAAGTTAACGAATTAAAATTTTAACGAATTAAACTCCGTTAGGAATAGTCCGTTGAATATACGGATTTATTTCGTTAGTGCAACGAATAATCCGTTTAAATTAAGGAGTTATTACACTAGGCAGCAAATTTTCCGCAGTTGTTATTCCTATGAAATAAATGTGTTAAAAAGTTATTTTAGTGATTATTTCGTTAAAATCACTAAAATCTAAAAATAGAGAGGCCAGAATTGTGACTTCATAACCAAATAATCCTTATATTTGTTAATGTTTGCATTTTTATTTAATTGCATTATTTTATTTCGATATTCTACATTAAAACGTTTTAACCAAAAATTGAAAACTAATTAAATATTTATAATATTTAATCCAATATACTTTAAATTACAATAAAAATAGTTTAAAAAAATATTTTTAATACACTATACTTAAGCTAGTACATTTATATAAAACACACACATATATAATAGATGTTTAAAATAAACTAATGCAAAGATATTAGTTTTTGGTCGCTAGTTTTGGTTTGGTTGATTTAAATAGGTTTTGGTTTTGAATACTGTTATTACTCGTACACAGGTTCGCACTTTAAATCGGACACCATGCTGTGAACTCCTTAAAGATTAATATAAAATAAAATAAGGAAAATATGGAAACTTAATAACATACCTAGTATAAAACCAAAATAAAACGTTACTGATAACACTATAGAAAATGTTTTTGGTAATTCATTATATATAAATTTTGATTCTAAATTTTGTTATTTTAATTATCTGATATCGTTTTCTAAAGATAAAGTTAAATGGAACAAGTAAATTATATCTTTATTAAAATGTAAATTAAAAAAAAAGTATAAGATTACCTTGACATTATCTGATAACTGAAAGATTCTATACATTTCACATACATCAATACCTATCAGGAGCAAAAAATAAGGTCTCTAACCTTTTAAAAACTATGATAAATCAAAACAAGATTAAATATGCAGACCAAAAAAAATGCAAGCAACTATATAAAAAAATTAATTTTACAACTTATTTAAACTTACAGTGTCATACCACTTGTCACATGTTTAAAATAGCTAATTCTAAAATAATAGTGAATATAGAATATAGTAGAATAATAGTTAAAAAAAGTGTGATATAAACTTAGTCTTAACTAAACTAAATAAGTATGCATGCCAAAAGAAATGCAAGTTAAAATATAATTTTTTTAAATTTACTAGTTCAAACTTACAGTGGGATACCACATGCTATGTGTCTAAAACAGTAAATTCTAAAATAATACAAACACATCAAATATAAACTTAGATTAAACTCAACTAAATAAAAATGCAAGTTACAATATAAATTCTACAACCAATTTATACCTACAATGTGACACTAAATGCCGTGCCTCTAAAGCAGCAAATTCTAAGATAGTATAAATAACTCATATATAACCTTAGGTGTAACTCAATTAAATAAACATGAATGTTAAACGAAATAGAAGTTCCAATATAAATTTTTTAATTTTACAACTAGTTTTAACTTACAGTGGGATAGCAAATGCCATGTGTCTAAAACAAAAAATTTTGAAATAATATAAACACACCAGTATAAACTTAGTTTATGATATTGGATGCCACATGTTTAATTTGGAAATTAATAAAAATTGCAATTTAAAAAAGCATATTAACTAGCCATGTAAACTTAGCTGTAACTAACCTAAATAAATATACCTATCAAAGATGTTAACATTTTAAATTTTACAACTGATTTAAACTAATATGGTATGTTACTACATGTCATATGTTTAAAATATAAAGTTAAAAAAGAGTATAAATAATCCATTTAGTCTATATTATAGAAATAATTGTAAATAACTAACCCTTTACTACTAGTAAAGGATTAGTTGAACTTTTATTTCTATAATATAGACTATATGGATTGCATATATTCTTGCATAATTTTCTAGATTTAGACATGTAGTAACTTACCATATATGATATGTATTAACTTACCATATATGTTATTATATATTATTTAGTAATACTAATGGCTTTTAATTTAAAACAAAATAAACCTTATGGTTAAATTTTCTATATAAAGCTTTATATAGAAAATTTAAAATAATCTAAATAACCTTCGAAATTACAAATAACAGAGCGTAATTTAAATTATATTTATCCATTTACTTTGTCTACTAAATGTAAAGCTTTTTAAAAACTGGCATATTACACTTACTGCAACCAACTTTTATCTACGATGTAAATGTAAATGTGAAAAAAACGCATTCAAAACTTTATCATTTTCAAAATAAAAAGCTATAATATACTGAAAATTTTTTTTTGACCGATTAGAATATTTAATCCGTTGAATTATTAGTATTAAGAATAAATATTTCTTATGAATACGCTTGAATTAACGAAATTTCTAAGAATCCGTAAATAGTTAATTTTACTCCGTTAATTTTCTGGTTTTTGGTAACGAATTAATTCGTTAATTTAACGAAAAAGCGCAATCTGTTACTTTTTATAACGGACTGTTTTTAGAGTGTGTATTTTCCTTTGTAAATAAAACTTCGGTTTGTTTGTGTTTAAATAAATGCTAAATAAAATAATTTACGCTTTAAATATTTCCTCCGACTAATATTTGTCTGAATAATGTTTTTTTAAACAGGATTTATGTTTACAATCGTCATTCATGGAGAGGTTGTTGTTTTATTTGGTCGTGAAAAAAACTCTTTAAAGAACTATATTATATATATATTTTTTTTATAGGTAGGAATATTTCCGCAATCGCATTGCAAATTGCATTACAAACAATTTAAACGCTTTAAATTTTTGATTTTACACAAGCGAATACAATTTTGTAGAAGGCAAGAGCTCTTGTGTGATCACACCGTGTGTCTTGTGAGATCTCACAGTGTTGATGTCAGTCTAGAGTGACGTCAACAGGAATGAACTGTTAGGTGAAATTATAATCTTAGCACCAATTTTGCCAAACGATAGATAGAACAATAGCTTCCCCGAAACAGATTTGTCATTGTCAACATTTTCAAAACTGTTTGATTGACATCATTCCTAATGTGTGCGTAGTATTAAAAATTTTGCTTTTGCTCCCAGTATCAGTGGCCAGCGGAGAAAGGAGTTTTTCTAAATTATCAATTTTTAAGAAACAGTTATGTTAGTAACATTCTATTTAAAAACACATAAAAATAAACTCTCAAATTTTTTTAAGAAATACACTTTTTTTATAATAGGGGGCGCCAAACCGTGATCTCGCATATACCAAAAAAAATCCTTAAAGCAGCTCTAAAAGTCATATAGTAAAAGTAGAAATTAAATAAAACAATTTTTTGGCTCATTAAATAAAAATTATATTATGAAAGTAAAAAGATAGGAGCAAAAAGAATCACAGAAAACAAAAGCTTTTGAAAAAGAGAAATCAAGAGTATATAAATGATAGATCCAATTAATTGCCAGAATTTGATAATGAAGTCAAAATTTCCGATAAAAAGGAAGAACTTAAGACAAAAGAAAAAATTAAGATATTAGAACGCCCTACAGTTTCCTTAATGGATGATAGGTTAAATCTATCTAACAGAGAAAGATCTGGGATCCTTTTAGCTTTAACTGAAGCATTATGTCACAATTTCATCTCAAAAAGCACAGCAAGTAGATAAGGTAACAAAATTCGATAGCAAATTTCCGATGATATTAAAAAAATATGCACTTCATCAGTGTACTTTTACTTTTACATTCACTGGGATTCAAAGCTGGTACTTGAGGTGGATTAAAATAAAACGTTTGGTTTTTTAACAAGAAAACCAAGTGCGCCTAAAGGAAAAATGTTGCTTGTGTTTAGGATTCCCGATACAACTGGGCGAAGTCAGGCAACAGCAACCATAGATGCTGTAAAGACCTGGAAACTAGAAAAAACAGTTGGAACAATGATTTTAGACATAACTACATCAAACTCAGGTTAGATAAATAGTTTTGCAAAGATAATTGAAGAACACTTCGATAAAAAGTTACTTTGGTGTGCCTGCAGTCTATTTATCTCCAAATTACGAGCCATTTAGTCACTTCAAAATTGATCTATGGCCTAAACTTTCATTAACTTCAGATACCACTTTTAGAAAAATTAAAGTTGAGGAACCAGTATAAAGTGTTGTACCAGTACAAACACAATTGATGTACCATTTAATAAATTAAAACTCTACAAAGAAATGCTTGTTTATGAAAAAAGTCTACATTGTTGCTATTGCTTCCCTTAAAAGATTTAATTAGCATCTTCGGTACTTAATAAAGAAGAACTTTCTGTTAAGTTTCTGATCATGATAAGGCTAAAATTACTAAAATAACTCATAAAAATATAAGAGAAAACTGGAAATATGATAAAGTCTTTTCACATTTTTCTCTTTTGAAAATATATATATATATAGTATATATATTATATATATATATATATATATATATATATATATATATATATATATATATATATATATATATATATATATATATATATATATATATATATATATATATATATATATATATATATATATATATATATATATATATATATATTTATATATATATATATATATATATATATATATATATATATATATATATATATATATATATATATATATATATATATATATATATATATATATATATATATATATATATATATATATATATATATATATATATATATATGATATATTACTAATTCAAACGCTAAAGGAATTGGATTTTTTTTTTTTTACTGAATTTACCTCAACAAGGCCGAGAGGACCTATTTTAGTTTAAGGTTACTATTTTTTTTACGAAAAAACAAAAATAAATAAATTTAAAAATAAACATAAACACACGAGTATTATATTATATTGCGACTAACTGTAAGCCTAAAGTGTAATAGCTATTCTACGGACTATATTTATAGCAAAATTTTCAACGATCGTTGCAGCATAGAGTTTTTGCAAGATAGCACCGAACAGACATAACTAGGAGACTGATAAGCCGGTTTTGAGTCATTGTAGATCTTTTCGATGTCTTGACTAGAGCAAGCTAACTGAGTGTCTGCTCTTCTTCGGTGACAGAACAGGAATTGTGTTTAAAATGTGTAGCAAGTAAATATTAATTATATGAGAGTCTGTAGATCTTTCTGGTAGATCAAATTCAATAGCTTTATTGACGTGAGAAAGTCTTTTGGACCGAAAAAGTTTTTGCACTTTAGAGTATTCAGATGACAAACCTCTCCTGTAAGTTTCTCTTCATCTCCATCGTTTATATAAATTTGCGCCAAATTTTTGCATTTCTCCTCCAGGATAGGTAATTCAAGTTTTTCTTTTTCACTCGACCTACTATTACATTCTAAAAGCCATAAAAAAGAAAGACTGTTCGTCGTCGTCGCTTAAAACTCATTACATACATTTCATACATAGTAGTAGCCTAATATTTTTTGTATTTTTGATTGCATTTAGATCTGAATAGAATAAATTGTTATCAATTGTAAAATAATGCTATAATAAAACTGTTACAAAAATAATCATAATAAAATAATGTTAAAAAAGCAGTTATTTTATAGTTTTAGTAAACTTTCTGATTAAAAAGCTTTTAACCCAGCAAGCACATAACGTTATTTCAACGTTGAGAAATGGTTGATATATGGTTGAAAAATAACGATCTAAGTTTCAACGTTATTTCAACGTTAGTTCAACGTTAAAAAAAAAAAACGTTGAAATTTCAACGTTGATTCAACGTTTGTTTTAATTGAAAATCAGCGTTGAATCAACGCTGATTTTCAACTAAAAACGTTGCGTTGAATTAACGTTGAAAAATAAACGCTGAAATAACGTTGAAATTACGCTGAAACTTAGATACGAGCGTTCGCCGACGCAAATGTACTAATAATTTGAAATAAGAATAAAATCTTATATTTTACATAGATTTGAGCGTGGGAAAGTTCTTTAAAAACTTTTAATAAAATCAATTAATCAATCAATATATTTCCACTTAATAACTGCATATATATATACAATAGTGAGGGACATTTACAAACAGTTAAACACTGATGATGCGTAAAGTATTAATGTAATAAAAGTGAAAACATGAAAAAAAAATTTTGCCATGAAAATATGTATAATTTTAAAAAAATTTATATGAACTTGTAGTATACACAAATTTTGCATATTTTATATAAAAATGCAAAACTTGTATATATACCCAGCAAACACTACACGTACAAAAAACGTACAATTAGGCATTTCAGTCCATTTTATGATCTTGTAATAAAATTAAGTTGAAATGTTAATTTTAATTTCATTTTATGCAAAATTTTAATCTCGTTTCAAAATAAGTTTATCCAATTTTGTAGCACCTATGGTTATCAAGAAATTTGCATTTTAATACTCCCTAATTTGACATTTTTTTAGACAAAAAATGCGCTTTTTCTTTTCAGTTTTTTTTTTAACATTTATTTTTTATCATCAAAACTGCGTAAAAATTTTAAGCAACGACTTTAGGCAATAATCTATCTGTTATCATTATACAATATACAAATAAAATAACTTTCAGTTCACAACTAAACTTTAGAACACCAGAAAAAATATATATACATTAATATAGTCATAGACACATTACATATTAATATAGTCATAGCTCTATTACGACATTAAATTGTGAAAAATCTAAACACAAGGTTGCCCAAATTTAAATTTTCTTGAATATTATGGATACGATATTATAAATATTATAGATTAATATAAACGATTTGTATATATATATATATATATATATATATATATATATATATATATATATATATATATATATATATATATATATATAATTTATAATATGTTTAATATATTTCTAACATAATTTTACTAATAATATATATAATAACTATATATGATACGTTATATTAACTATAAACAATATAGATATAAATATTATAGATTATTATATATTAATAATTTATAATAATATTATGTAATTTACAATATATTTCTAATATGATATCACTAATAATATATATATATATATATATATATATATATATATATATATATATATATATATATATATATATATATATATATATATATATATATATATATGTATATATATATATATATATATATATATATATATATATATATATATATATATATATATATATATATAATAACTATATATGATACATTATAATAACTATAAACAATTTAGATATTATAAATATTATGGATTAGTATATACTAGTAATTTATAATAATATTATACAATTTATAATATATTTCTACTATAATAATACAAATAATATATACAATAACTATATACGATACGTTATAATAACTATAAACAATATAGATAT